AGTTCCTGTGATAGTTGAAGGGATTGGCTGGACCTTGTGCCCCCTTGATTAAGGCTTTGCTTTTGAAGTTGCAACCGAGTCATCCTGGTCACGTGGGACATTGATTGTATTAGACTCGACCTATGCATTGCAACGAGAGAAAGTATCTAGTGAGAAGCACTGCCTCTGGCGGTCGGTAAGAACGAAATAGAACAGAACGCAGGTCAATATATTGTCAATTTGGTGCTATTATGCACAGCAAAGTAAACAATATTTGTTTTTACTGTATGTGCATTGCATTGCATGAAGATGACTTTTTAGGAGACTCTGATTGCACTCGCTGCCATAAATACACTGCAGGCTCACTCTCGCTCAAATGTCTTAGGTTTGGTACCCAGGTGTGCTCCTGAGTTCACATGACAGCTTTCACATTAGTATTGCAACTACCAGTGTGGAAGCCTCCTAAGTCTTTTATTGTTTGATCATCTGTTTCACCTGACGATAATTTTGATAATGTCAATAAAGATTAGGTCTATTTAATTTTATCGCAGCTCCTCTCCATCTCTCATATCAAACTGATGGTTGGAGGGGAGTGGTTGAGGATATATTCAACTCACGCCGTCAAACCGAATAGCATTTCAGAGCAGACAACCTCCAGTTGACCGGGACTTTGAGCTCTTTGTTTGGTTCAGTTCAGTTGTCTGTGTTGTGTTTTGCTTGGTTGTTCTTTTCTTGTTTTTTGGCTCTGAGTTTTTTTTGTTAAATAAATATAAAACTGCTGTGTTACATCCATTTGTCTTCATTTCTGCAACCCAACCATGACACCTTCATAGGTTAGGTGAATACTTTTTATGCCCATTTGTTCCTCTTCATTGCAGAGAGACACTCGCTGTATTACATTTACACTAGTTTGTCCAAACGTGCGTATCGGCCGGGCATCTATGAATTCTCTGCTATGGGTCTGCTAGACGACAGACAGATCGACTATTACAATAGTGAAGAAAAGAGAAAGATTCCCACACAGCGCTGGATGAAGGAGAAAATGCCGGAGGATTACTGGGAAAAAGGCACTCAGTCGAGAAAGAGCAAAGAACAGTGGTTTAACGTCAATATCAAGATTCTGATGGACCGCATGGGGCACAATGATACAGGTGAGGAACATTCATACCGTTAAACATACTTAAACATACTAGTTTTATTATTGTTATCATCTTACAAACATTTTGATTCTTCATGTTTCAGATCTTCATGTTTTTCAGTGGAGAACTGGTTGTGAAGTTGAGCAGCAGGGAAGTCAAGTGAATTTTCTCAAAGGCATTTCTGAGTACGGCTACGATGGAGAAAACTTCCTGTCTTTTGATGATTTAGAGTCTCAATGGGTCGCCCCAGTTGAAGCAGCTCTACCAACCAAGAGAAAATGGGACAATGTGCCGATCCTAAACCAATACACCAAAGGTTACCTGGAGAAAGAGTGTGTGGACTGGCTCAACAAATTCAGAGAATATAGAGACGAGGAGCTCAGAAATGGCCGTGAGTAAATGTGTTTGTATTTGTTGGATCATCCTCAGATGATGAATAATATTGATGAACAGATTTCTGTGTTTTCAGCTCCTCCGAAGGTTCATATGTTTGCAAAGAAGTCTATCGGTGACAAAACCAAGCTGAAACTGACCTGTCTGGCCAACGGCTTCTACCCCAAAGATTTGAGGATGACCATTAGGAAATATTGCACATCTCTGCCTGATGATGAGATTGAATCCTCAGGAGTCAGACCAAACCATGATGGATCCTATCAGCTGAGGAAGAGTGTGGAGATCAAGGAGGAAGAAAGACATGAATATGATTGTCTTGTGTCCCACAAGAGCATCAAAGAACCAATTATCGGCAAATTGGGTAATTAAAGCAGTTACATAGAAAGACAGAAATGTCACCCGATATTGGATTAAAACAATATATTTTGAGTAGGGATTTTGTTTGCTTGCGATATCCTTAATTCCACTTTTGATATTTTTTTTAAACTATATAGATAGTTTTTGCATTTATATTATATAGTCACGCCGTTTCAGAAGTGGATGCAGTGTAAACTGGTTTAACATGCTTTTTAAGCTCTACTTTAAATCATTTTAACGCTGCCAATGTGTTGTTTGCAACTTCTGGCTATAGTGTGTTTTTTAGTTTACATGTACCCAAATAATCAGTTTATAATTGTATTGATGTCTCAATCAGACTGAAAAGCCTTTATGTAAACACATCAATGGATCCAATTTAGCTCGATCCAAATTAAAATTTCATGTAGACGAAACGTATTCAAAAACACCTTGTGCACAGTGCCGTCAAGTGTATGTTAACCTTAATTTTACTTATTACAAATGTGCTTCTTACGAAAATCTCACGTCTTACAAAGTGATCAGTGGACGACTGAATATTTAGGACATATTTGCTAAATAGCTCCTATCTCAGATGTCTTGAAAGCTTTCTCAAAAGATGAAAACGATTGTCAGTTCTCAGAGACGTGCATGGTTTTGCTTCTCATGATGATTGTTCATCTTCACTAATAAGTATCTGATAAATATACACTTATTCTTATTTGTGAACATCAAATAAAACCAACATCTAATTAAATGTAACTGTGGAAGTCTTTTTTTATCGATAGATTTATTTATTCACTAAACATTGAACTGTCCATCATTGTTGTCGAGTTTAGAAGTAAGCCACTCTATAGTTTGTGCATGATTAAGAGATTCATTGCCTGCCTAAAGTCATCGTTAGATTTGCTTGTTGGTAAAAACTTAATTCTGCTGTTGGCAGTGTTTTCCTCAAGGAACGATGTAAACATCAGTTTACCCTTCAAGGCGTTTAAGTCATGGACAGGAGTGTTGCAATGAAGATTTCTACTCAGTTTTGTGTTTTTCTTCTTTATGGGACTTTGCCTTGAATTGGCTTTATGCACAGCTGCACTACTTCCTGAACTTCAGCCAGCTCCTTGTTTCCTGTCTGCCATTATTGGACAAATTGATTAATTCAGGTGTGCCTGACCTCAGTAGTCACGGCAACAATAATCAGACACACCTGAATTAATCGAGTTGTCCAATAATGGCAGAAATGAAACAAGGAGCTGGCTGAAGTTCAGGAAAAAAGCCAATTCAAGCAGGTAGGATGAACTTCTGCTGCATTTATCAGAGAACCAAAGTGAAAGTGACACGTTTGCGCTTCCTGATCATAAACAGCTTTGTAACGACAGAATTTAAATTTGATTACAAAGTTATGCAAACATTGTATATTTATTTAATTTAAGATAATTAAATGTATGCAAGTTTTGACAACTTACAGGTAAATCTAAAAAAAAAAATTGAATATCACAAAATAGAGACGTACGTTAGTGCATAAAGTCATTTGCGCCGGGTGCAAGATAAAGCCCAAGACATTTTTTTTGGACCAACACTTAATTATAGACTAAATTCTATAATAAGCATATCTTGAATTTCTTCAGCCCATCACCAATGTTTTTTCTTCTTTTTTTCACAAGTCTCTCAAGATTGTATTTCTCACTGAAGACATAACAAAAACTGATTTGCTCATCCGCAAATCAGTAGCCTACGCCTATGTAAGTGTATCCAGAGTTGCTCAATCATGTTTCCCTCTCTTCTTAATATTGTCTGCAAAAAAACAAGCATATGTTCTATATAGTTTCTAAAAATAATCACAAAAATCAGTTGGGTGTTTCCCTATAATGTAGGAATTTACATTTGTCCTATTCGATCTGGTCATACATTATCTTGTCTTTTCTATAGCTCCCCTATTCCTCACAGCACCAACATTATTTTGAATGATATATAGATATATTAAAAATAAGCAGGGTTTAAAAAGATCTTTTTCACCTGGACAATTTAGCTATAGCGTAACATTTTTAAGTTACCGGGCATTCAGAACTTCTATCCAAAAAAGAAAGAAAATAACCAATTAACTATATCACAGGTTGTGTGTGTGTGTGTGTGTGTGTGTGTGTGTGTGTGTGTGTGTATAGTACAGCCTATATAATTTAGTACAATGTCCCCAAGATGGCAATGACCGATTTTTTCAATGAAGGAAGTTTTAGCAGTAAAGGTTTTTTTTTCTTTCTTTCTTTTTTTTTTTTTAACTGCATAAAGTTTTGTGTAATGGGTTTAGGGGAGTGTTAGGGAAAGGGGAGAGCATATACTGTACAGTATAAAAACATTACATCCCTGGAAAGTCTCCATAAAACAACCCAAACTGGAAAACAAGTTGGGAATATACTGCAAAATATAATGCAATATTTTACATAATAGCCAACATTTATATCCAGCATTATATCCAGCATCAAAACATGTGAAGTCACAAAGAAATTTGCTCATCCGCAAATCAGCAGCCTACGCCTATGTGAATGTATCCAGAGTTGCACACTTCACTTGTAGAATATTTTCTCACTTGGATATTGTCTAGCACAAACACAAAAACATTTTTTCATATTATGCTGTAGCCTACAGGGGGGTGATGGGAGATATGAAGCTTTTCAAAGCTTCGAATCAATTAAATGATTCACTTTTTTGAAGCGCTGGTGACATCTGCTGGTCAGAAGACTTTAAAAACGTCCAAAAAAACATTCAGAAAACAGCTTTTAAAAACCAATCGCAAATGTTTTATTGAAAGTAAAATCTATTAAATGCAATTAACTAATCATATAATATGATTACATATCAAGTGTCTGTGTAAGATGTGTTATTTGATACGTCATGGATTGTTTTGTTTGTTCCATGGATGGCTCAGCTAAACATGCCTTGAGACAATTGTAACTATTATTCCCTTGAATTATGCGTCATTAACACTTCTACACATGTATAAAACTGATCAGAGATCAGGTAAAACCCAGATACCCATTTCAAAATAATGTTTCGAGACAGTAATGACGTAACGAAGCCTCGTTTACTGAAATCACGTGACTTTGGTAGTTTGAACCACACTCCGAATCACTGATTCAAACTAAAAGATTCGTAAATGTTTCGAAGCTTCAGGAAGCAGTGTTTCGGACTGGCCTACAGATAGTCTACTACGTGTTGTACTTTATTAATATGGTTAATCGATATAGGGCATAGACTGGTTAAAATAATAGTGAAGTGATAAGAAAACTGTTTCACTAATGGATCATATACTACGCCACTGAAATTTTTACTTTCGATTTCAGACCCGTCGCCGGAGAACTATCAGGATGGGTAAGAAACAAGTTAAAATATGTAGGCCGCCGATGTAAGGGCGAAATGTTGGCAGTCTATGGCCTAACAAATCACTTAAGATGTTTAAACTTTATCGCAATAAACTGTATGGATATGGCGGAGGAGACATGACTCAAACATAACCGAATAACAATTGCTGTTCATTTTCACATGCGATTTAAAATGTCCAAATTTGTCATCTCTTGCTATGTGCTCTGTATTTTTGGATGTCTATTTTATGTTGTGCTTTGTTTTGTTTAAGACTCGATCACACGGCAGTTTGCGCAAAGGAGAGCAAGAGATGTATTTAGTAAGTGTCAAATCATGAAAATAATAACATGAAAATGATAGGAGTCTTTGTGATTCTGACTAAATCACAACGACCTGTCTTTTTTCTGACAGAGAGACAACGACGGAGAAGTAATAGTGATGAACGTCCTAACAGTAAGTTAATTCTACCTTTTTTTCTTCCAGAGATTATGTAATTGTTTTTATATTTGAAACGATGAACGGTTGATGTTTTGACATTAGGCTACACAGCAAAATCCCCAATGTTAAATTAATACTTTAAAGTGTGAATTATATAAACTCTGAGCAGAGTGTTGAATGAACACTGAAGCAGTGTTAAAGTTAATGAGATAATTAAGTGAATAATTGAGTGATGATTGAGCACTATTAAAGACACCTGATGATAAAGGGTCACTTCACCCATTTGCATTAAGCTTTGTATCTTTAGAAACCCAGTCATATTTTTGAATGGTCATGGTTTATTCACTTATTTACCCCTGAGATGGGAAAAATAAGGATTTAAGTGTTTTACTTCCTGCTGTCATAATAAGCAGGAAGTCACATTTCAAAATTGTAAAGTTTAGAGACTACAAACTCAGCTCCTCACAATTCAAGGGTTTGGGACCCACTCACCCCACAGGCCTATTACAGATCAGTGGGTGGGACTTCACTTGCAGAAACTGAAATCATATCAGCCATCTTGTTTGGAAGGGTAGTTTACATAAGGCTTGTTCGACCTCATGCAGCTCTGCGCAGACCGATCGGCGGCTGACTTGAAACAGTGCATGCCGGTTAGAAATTTTGTCCGACTTGATGCAGCGCTGACTCCACGTGACTGTGACATATGCCATCAAAGTACCGCGAGAGCGATGCGAGAGAAGCCGGAGGACTCAGCCAGCGCAGCTTCTCAAGAGCGGCTGCACGAGCTCTGATGATGTCACAGCTGTTCCACGATTCGTCGGATTCAACGCATGACAACGATCACGTTTCGCGTTTCGTGTTTATTCTCACACCTTTAGTTCCACTAAAGCTCACAAATCAGTTTTTTATAACAGTAAACAGTCTTTTCATGTAGTCGCGATGTTATATTGTGTCATGTTTATCATGTTTATCAAAATAAAACTGATTAAAAAATGTTGACTCCACGTCATTGATTATAGGCTTATTTTGAACTTTATTCTTGTTCAAACAGATGCTGTATGAAGCAGTAAAGTATTAAATGAAAATGTGTCTGAAATATCTGTTTATTTGGCAAATGTTGCATTTATTTCACTTAAGCACGGGTAAAGCATGCAAACGCCACGTGAGCCGTCACTACGGGAACCAGAAATTGTCCGACTTCACGTCTCCGTTTGCAGCTCCTCCCCGCCTGCACGCGGCTAATATCGCCAATCGGTTGCATCCAGCCGCAGGCGATGTCGAACACACCTATAGCCTGGATGCCAGCCCGAACTCCGCCCACAACATTTTTTGGTGGGGAAGATCGGTCTGGACTCGATCCATTGAGGAGTAATTATGATCAGGCAAGAAATGATCGGGCCAATCAAATTGCCAGGGCGGGCTTTATACGATGATGGACAGATGATCTGCAAGGACGTAATCATCTGTCGCGGTAACCGCAATATTGCAGTACCGCGCTTCTGACAAGTCAACCGCAGAGGATTGCACGTAACCGCAGCAACCGCGATATTCACGTTTTTTTTTTTCTTATAAGGCTATACCCTTCTTGTTTTTAACTTAATGCATGTGTATTGAATGTTAAACAAGTTCATAATGATAACAAGACTGTTTATCATGGTGATGTGTAGCCTACAGGCTTCACACAGACAGTGAATGAGAGAGATCGGCAGAGCGCGTGCAATTACCTGCGTCTGTCTTTGAAGTCGTGAAAAGCTTGTCGTGTCAAAGGAAAGCGAAATATTTGTCACATCATCATTAACGTTCTCTTCACGGGTATTTTCCCATAAATGCGCGTCAGCAGCAGCGCTGGTCAGCATCCCACAGCACAAGGAAGCATTGAATCAATGCTATATTGGTCTCTAATAATTGAAGCATCTGCTTCAGCGTTGCCCATGTGACGCATTGCTGCTCAGCTGAGCCTTGAAAAGTTGAACCTCAAAGTTAAAAATAATTAGTCTAACATCTTGTTTCTTTACATCTCTTTTAATGAATCAGCTTTTTTTAAACGTGTTCGTTGAATGAACGACTCGCTCAAAGTCCGTTGTCATAACAATATGCGCGCTGAGTGAAAGTCTTTCAATGCGTATATACTGAAGACGCAGTTTAGTTTCGGTTACAATGGTTACTGAAAATGTCTCTTTGGTCGTGTGTCGGCCATTTTTCAAACTTCCCTCTGATGCTCTTCTCTCTCCTTCACACACACACACCCCCTTCATGTGCACGGCACGCGCACTAACCCCCTAGACCCACCCTCAGATACTTCTTGCCAGTGATTGGCTGGAACACTGTTTGTTAGGTTTCGTGGTCCGGGTAAGACATGATTGTTTTTGTTGCCGTTTGTGGAGCCTGTGGTGTCTACAGAGACCGCGTTTTTTTACAGTGTGTTTAGGGGACAGGCAGCTAGCCGATAGTGAGGAGACGTTTGATGTATGTGACAAAAAATGTTTTGGCCCCACATCGCTTAGAGAACCTTTAACACTGGGGATTAAATAAATAAGCAGGTTTGAAAAGTGTGTGTAATAGTATATTGTATGTACAGTATACTTCTTAAAGTGACTGCAACCAACATTAATGACTTCTAATCAAAGCAATAGCGGATTATGTCCCGTAGTGTTTCTTTAGAAAGTAACATCACCAATTACTTGCCTGGCATGCATAATACAACATTTTAAGTTGTTTTCTCTTGTTCGTGTGAATGGGAAACATTTTAAACACCTGTATACAAAACTTTTCAAAAATGCAAAGGAAAACTGTTTCTAATACATCAATGTCATGTAAACATACTCTTACTGAATATGATGTTTTGATTTTTCAGTGTTTTTGTCTTTAAGTGATGTGTTTTGTGTGTTTCAGTGTGTGCTCTGAGGCTTGTTTTTCTGGGGAAGAATGGATCAGAAAACAGTCGAGTCAGAAACCTAATTCTGGGAATAGATATGCATGAGGAAAAGGACCCGACAGTTTTAGAGAAGCTCAATGTAATCCCAATCAGTGGGATGGTGAAGGACAGACACATCACTGTCATTAACACTCTTCATCTGCTGAATCCAAACATCTCACATCATCAGATCACACAGACCGTGAGACTGTGTGTGTCTCTGTCTGATCCAGGACCTCATGCCTTCATAATCATACTGCAGTATAAAGACTTCACTGAGGAGGACATGAGAAGAGTCAAATATGTGCTGAAACAATTCAGTGAAGAGGCCATTAAACACACTATAGTGATCACGACTGACACACACACAAGTTTTGGGAAAAAGCATCCAGCTATTCATCAGCTAATGAAGGAGTGTGGAGGAAGACACCTGCAGTTCGATGAAAGAAAACCTGAATGGCGATTGGAGATATTCAAGAGTGTTGATAAGATACTCGAGGAGAACAAAGAAGAATATCTCAAATGTGAGTTATATGAAGATGTTATAGGATCATCGGTGGATGAAGAGAAGAGCCGATCTGAGCATTCATTCAGACCAGATGAACAATACGAGGAGCCTTCTTATCACCAAGATGATGTAAAACCCAAAGAGAGAACTAAAGGTATTACATTTATTTAGCTTTTAACTTTTTTGACTGTTTATGAAGTACAGTTTTTAAATTCATGTGAATTAAAATTTGAAAAAGCTTCCAAAAGAGTTTTTAAACACAAGTTGTAGAGAGTTTTATATTCAAGTTATCTATTCGCTCATTTTCAGTGCTCACTCACTATTTACTTTTTTGCTCTTTGTGTTATTTTACCCACATACAGAGATGGCATTAACAACATGTTTTAAACAGATCTCTCACATTGATTTCTGCATTATTAATCATTCATGTTGAAACTGTGATATGATATGCAGTATACACCACCACGGTTTACACTGGAGTGTTTTAGACAACATCAGTTTAAACCATTTTCATCTTGTTTTGACTTTAAATTGATAAAGGACAATTTGTGAGAATTCATAACTAAATTATACAATTCAGAAAATACAGTTATATACATATAAGAGCTATCTCAAGTATCTCTGAATTGAGCTGTAAAATTCTCTATCTAATAACTTTAACAGTCAGTCATTCTTTTATCTCAAATGGCGTTAATTTAATGCCAAATGTCGAGAGCATCTTATTGTAAAGCGAGAGAACTTTCATGTAATGCGCGAGCGCAAATCTCTATGCTCGCATTCAGATTTCCTTTGCTCTCGCTCAAAACTGGACCTGCTCTTCAAAACTGTATGCTCTTCAATATACAGTGCTGTCTTTCAGCCTTGTTTATACTTTCGCTCCGTCGAATGTACGCACACTTCCACAAACGGCCAAGGTCTTTATACTTGACGCGCTCTTTGTTGTTCTATTCTTTGAAACAACAGAGGGCTCCTGAGTTATTGTCCTCTGAAGCATCAGGAATCAACGGTGAGAAGTAAGGTAAACATGTGACAATGTTTATTTTAGTACAACACCACCAGCAACACTACAAAAATAATCGTGTAAAACCCGGCAAACCCTGAGATTATTACTTGTGACATTGGAACAAAATATATGGATATGAGAACATGTATGTATACAACTAAATTAACGATCTCTTGAAATTTCACTAAACATTTTCATTAACTTTTGGGAACATTTTGATTAAACATGGACTTTTATGAAGGCCATTAAATGTATTTTTTATGCTATTTTAGGCTAATGTTTTAGAGGTCCTGGTGTGATAAGAAGTTCGTGCTTGGCTAGATTCGGCATCGAAGTCTTAAATCTTGAAATGGGCCCTTGCGCACACAACATACACGACTTCCCACAACACAATGACGTAATTTTTGCCGTTCACACCATCGCGCTTGTGCGGACGTGGCCAGTACAAACCATTTGTCAATCGCGAATCTCCCCATTCTTGCACTACAAATAAATTCTCTTCGCTTCTGGATTAAGTTCTCAACCAATCAGAATAGACTTACGACTGACCAATGAAAATGCTACATTGAATCTTATTGGCTGAGAGTAAACTGCAACTGGAATTCTAGTTTAGTTTTGTTTAAATTCTCTATCATTTTAAAGGGTACATATCATGCCTTTAAATCATTAATTTTTACTTATAAATCATACATTTGTGGTCTATATAAAGCATAACTGCAATGCTTGGGTCTGAATTACTCATTATTATAGCTCCACAGGCCCCTTTTCTACCCGTTTTCTGATGTGCTTCTGTGAGCAAGTCGTTTTAATGCGGCCCCTTTAAATAAAAAGGCGTACCGTCTTACCCCGCCCGCTTTCCAGGTCGCTGAGTTCACGGTCAGTTCAACTCAGGTTCAACTCTCCGCGTTCGGCCATTATTGTAGTTTGATAAGAGATACGATTACTATAGCTTCAAAGAACATTTTTATTCACACGTTAACAAAATGTCAACAACGAAAGACTTGTCCAGCAAGCCTTACATATTCCAGCCAGAGCGAGCGAGTTGAAAAAGATGACAACGACGAACCTGCAGAACAACGTCTTCATATGGAGGCAGGTATGTAAGTTGACTTTGTTGTGTTATTAGTGAAAGTCGACTATTTCTCTTGTTAAAACAAGCACACTGACAAGATAAATGACTACGGTCTGATCTTACCACAAAAAATCTGTATTGATAATAAAATGATAACTTACGTTTAGAAAGCATCAGGAAACACAGCAGCTAAATGATAGAAGGAATTTACCCCTCATTCAGAAGAAAGTCGATCGGTAAACCCTTCTTTATACTGGCGGAGGTTGTTGAAGTGGGAATCCTTGAAGTGCTTCAGGTCACTAACGTACATCCAACAACTGAACATTTTGACTTGCCCTCTCGTAACTTCTGCATGATTGAGCTTGACTACAAAATTGGAGCGAGAAATAATAATGGCGGATTGCTCGAAGTGTTGGACCGGTAGTCAATGTCCTTATTTGTCAGTTCCGCTGCAAATACGGTGGCGTACTTGCTCAAAAAACGTCATAGACAACAGAAAAATCTGAATAGGTTGAAAAATATGACCAAAACAGAATTTAAAGATATAAACGAAGCACCTGAAGAGAATAATTTAATCTTTTCTGTACTTATAAACACTCCAAATCTACAACAAAATGCATTTAAGGGGTAAAAAAGTGGATTTTGCATGATATGTCCCCTTTAAATTATTAATTTAAATTAAAGGTGCAATACCTAAGATCTAGATGCCGCTAGAGGGCGCTACATTCAAAACAACAACAACGGCTTTGCTTGATGACGCCGTGGAGGAACGCGGAATGATGGGAACTGTTGTTTTCAACTCCACCGTGGATAAATCAGTCAGACGGGAATCGAAAATTAGTTGTCATGGATGAGGTAAAGTTCGATTTCTATAAACGTTGCGTTTAATGACATGCTTGTATTTCATTAAACTGAAATAACCGTGCAAGAAAAGTCAGGTTTAAAAGTAAATTAGTTATCACAGATGTTACTGTACGAGTCACTGGACGAAGCTATGGTGGAGAGGGTTTGAAGGGGCAGGTCTCTCGCAAGGAGTTGACGTGGTTGGCCCTCCTTGGTAACTTTATAAAAATAAAAAATCAATTTAATGTCAGTTATCCCAACCTGCAAGAATTCATTTCCGGGAGGTATATTTCGATAACAAGATTGTGGGGGTGGGAGGGAAGGCTAACTTTCGCGTTCGCGAGGCACAAACGCAAAGTCTCTCCCTCTGTACAGTGCACGCGCAGCGCGCTGTATGTTATGCGCGCAGTATGTCTCGCTCTAACATTATATCCCGGGAGATTTGAACTAATTTGCGGGCATCAGGGAAACGCTATCAATATGCGGGAGATCCGGGAGACTTGGGATGTCTGCAATGTACATTTGACACATCTTTTCATGTCGTGTAAGTATTCAACCACAGCTACAGTTTCACAAAATTAACGTTAAGGGGTCGCACACCGGACGAGAAGCTGCAGCGCCGCGTTGCACCACATAATTATTCGAACACATTATTATCTATAAGTGTACACATACCGGCGGCGCCATTCGGCGTCTGTCCGCGGCGCCCAGCAACGTTTCAGGACCGTGTTCAAAACCCTGCTGCGCCACAGAGCGCCATTTACATAGTTTTATATAAAATTGTAATTATTTTTGCCTCAAACCGTTGCTAATGGATCCTGACTTTGCCCTATGCTGCAATATCTATGCGTTTAGTTTTGCAGTCATTTACAGAAATCAGCTGCTTGAATGACAATTACTGATTATTATTAGATTTTTCACGTGAGATTCTCAATTCATTCTGTGAACGGATGATCTGAGGTAAAGTTTTCAGAATGCAGACTCAGCAACGATTGTATTTAATTGTACAGTACAATAACATAGAACAGACATTATCTTCATTTTCTGTCATTAAACATAACAATATTGCTGGCCATACACTGATGAGAAAGTGCGCGTCCGGTGTTCGATAACGTTACTGGAGTTGTCCTAAACGTGACGCGGCGCTTCTCGTCCGGTGTGCGACCCCCTTTACAGCCAACAGTTCACATTCCGAGAATAAATGAAAAGAATATATGTGCTCCATTCCATAACAAATGCGCGAAACAAGCTGCCGTTTGATAGGCGCTAACGCACAACTACAACTACCGCATTTGTCCAGGACTACACGTAGTAAGAGCGGAAACCGAGGTAAGCGGATATGACGCGATTGACTCGCGACTCCCAGCTCACCCCTGCTGACACGTGCCGTTTCCTTGGTTAAAATCTCAATTTTCTCGCGATTTAAACATTGTTTGAAACATTTGGAATATTGTGAGTTATCATCTTTACTAAATATATAACACTGGCCTTGTGATTTTGGGATATTTTAATGCAAAAATCTTAGGTATTGCACCTTTAAGTGTATCTTAAGACCTGAGTGCTTGGGTGATTCATTTATATAGCCTAGTCTAACTGCATCACAAAGGTGAAAATAAAGACATTTATAATGTTACAAAAGTTTTTTTTTATTTTCTCGGATTACTCTAATTTGAACCTATTCATCAAAGAATACTGACTTTAAAAAAAAACATTAATAATCAGAACTGTCCCCGCGGCCAGCTGTGCGCCAGAGCATCTGGGCCGAGAGTGCCCTCGGTCAGAGAATAAAACAGGGCGCAATGGGATGAGTCGTGGGAGGCAAACAGGTCTATCTGCACCTCCCCGAACTGGTCCCAAATCAGCTGGACCGACTGGGGGTGGAGTCACCATTCGCCGGAGATTGGACGGACACGTGACAGCTCGTCAGCTGCCAGGTTCCGTTCTCCTGGAATGTAAACAGCACGAAGGGACCTCAGGCGCTTCTGACTCCATAATAGGAGGTGGCTTGCGAGTTGCGACATCCTCCGTGAGCGTAGACCACCCTGACGGTTGATGTACGCTACTGTTGCGGTATTGTCTGAACGGACAAGTACGTGTTGACCCCTGAGCAGTGCCCGAAAGCGGTGCAGGGCCAGGCGTACTGCCAGCAACTCGAGGCAATTGATATGCATAAGGCGCTGGGGTCTCCTGTCCAGGAACCCGCGGCTGCATGTCCATTGCACATGGCTCCCCAACCCGTGGAAGACGCCTCTGTGGAGACAACAAGATGCCTGGAAACTCGCTGGAGAGGGACACCGGCCCGTAAAAAAGCTGAAGTTCGTCCACGGGAAGAAGGTCTGACGGCAGGTCGGGGTCACTGGAACCCTGAGCGTGCCGCGATGCCATGCCCACCTCGGGACTCGATCGCGAAGCCACAGCTGAAGTGGTCTCATATGAAGCAGTCCGAGCGGCGTTGCCACGGCTGCGGATGCCATATGCCCCAGGAGCCTCTGAAAGAGTTTCAGTGGGACCGCACTCTTGCCCTCGAACTGACGAAGACAAGCCAGCAGTGAGAGCGCGCACTCGTTTGTGCGCTGCGCGGACATGGCGACCGAGTCTATCTCCATCCCGAGAAAAGAGATCCTCTGCACAGGGCAAAGTTTGCTCTTCTCCCGGTTGACCCGAAGGCCCAGACGGGCAGATGCCGAAGCACCAGGTCTCTGTGTTCGCAGACCTGATCTTGAGAGTGTGCCAAGATCAGCCAATCGTTGAGGTAATTCAGGATGCGAACCCTGTGTTCGCGAAGGGGAACAAGGGCTGCCTCGACGATCTTCTTAAAGACGAGGGGACAGAGCCAACCCGAATGGGAGAACTGCATACTGATATGCCTGACCTTCGAAGGCAAACCGAAGAAACGGTCTGTGTCGAGGCAAGATGGAGACATAGAAATACGCGTCCTTCAGGTCTATCGCTGCAAACCAATCCTGGGGCCGAATGCATTCGAAAATGCGCTTGGCCGTCAACATTTTGAACGGTAGTCGGTGAAGCGTACGGTTCAAAACGTGAAGATCTAGGATCGGTCGTAACCCACCGGTCTTCTTGGGGACAATGAAGTAAGGGCTGTAGAACCCTGACCTAATCTTGGCTGGAGGGACAGTCTCGATTGCACCCTTCGCCAGCAGGGTAGCAATCTCCGCTCTCAAGACCGGGGCATTGCCACCGACCATCGTAAAGCGGACTCCCCGGAAAAGGGGAGGAGATCGTGCGAACTGAATCGCATAGCCGAGCCTGATCGTTCGGGCGACCCAGCGGGATAGGCCGGGGAGCTCTAGCCAAGCTCCCAGGAACCGATCCAGTGGGATCATCCGAGAGCAGCAGGGAGCGGAGAACAAAAGATTCTCCCCTGGCCCTCCACCGGGGGAAGGAGGGGGCCTGCTACCGCCTCCTGTGAAAAACTTGCAGACATCACTGAGCAGCCCGTCTCAGGAACGCCGCTTGGCCTGCCGTTTAGCGGGGCGCGGAGCCTGAGGGGGCTGTGACGCTGGGGGTTTCTCGGCGGCAAGCAGGCTGAGGCGTCTGTGCCGACGGCTGGGTGGAGGCAGCAGCTGGCTGTCGGGGCAGGATGTGTTTAATGGCCTCAGTCTGCTTCTGGGTGGTCGAGAACTGCTGGGCAAAGTCCTTGACCGCACCGCCGAAAAGGCCCTCCTGGGAGAGGGGGGCGTCAAGCAGACGAGTCCGCTCGGCGTCCTGCACTTCAGCCAGGTTGAGCCAAAGATGACGCTCCTGGACCGCGTTGGTGGTCATCACCTGACCCAGGGAGCGCGCCGCCACCTTAGTCGCCCGGAGAGCGAGGTCAGTAGCGGCGCACAGTTCATTGAACGCCCCTGGTTCAGTCCCGCCCTTTGTGCATATCTCTGAGCGTCAGATCACCCTGTCCGCGAACCAAAGAGCTCCCCTTCAAAGATGAAGCCGATCGGGTAACGGAGGCAGGGACTCTCACAGTGAGATCATTGAGTCTAGATCTCAGTGTTGCTATGGTCATGTTCCCACAAAAAGAACATCATCCACAAGCGCTGCCTTTGCGTGTTCAAAGCCCAGACACACAAAGCAACACTCATGCCCATCAGAAGAGGAGAGGAAACGACCGCAACCAGAAGAACACGGGCGAGGCATCTTGAAAAAGATGCACTACGTGCAGCTCTTTTAGAGAGAGGAGGAAATTCACTCTTTCAGCGCTGAGGCGACCAGGGAGAAACGCAAAGTCTGGCAGACCGCTGCACAGATCGCAGGCAATGCAGAAACTCGCTGGGTACCACCCGCCGTCACACCAACACTGGAGAGGACGCTCGTCTCGAAGAGTATAACTCAGTGGCTTGTGGAGTGAAGAAGTCTCTTGGCTCCGAAGCGAAAAACATACTGCGGTTGCATCCGCTTCCTCCTTTTATACACACGAGGTGGGGCGGAGATACGCTATGCAAATTCCGCAGACCCATGGCATTTTCACGCCATTGGCTCGTTTTTAAATACTCGAAGAGGATTGGCTTTCTATGTGAAACCCCCATTCTACTTCTTCCGACATAACTCGGAGTGACTACGAAAGGGAACAGGATTGTTGCAGGGTTCATTGTAGAAGACATGCTTCCCCTGTCGACCATTAATCCCCCAGGTTTAGAAAAATGCATTTTAAATTAAGATTGAGAATTTTATAGGATAAAGTGACCTTTATTTTATCATTTTTCATTGACCTCTTCATTTTTTTTATAATTTTTTTTTTTTATTGCCATGAGTCGACTAAAAAGCTGGTTTTGTTCTCAGGAGAAGAGTTTTATTCTCTCAAAGCCTGTGTTTTGAAACTTGTGTGTTGAACCCCATTTTAAAATGACCCCACAATAGCCTCATATTTATTTGTGCAGACAGGGATATTGTTCTTTCTTGCCATTTTGTATAAATTTGTACAATAAAGTTATGATAGGCTATGATGTTTGTCCATGTATCTACACAGTAAATTAAGAAACGGGAAAGTAAAGTAATAAGTAGTGAAATTACTTTTCCAACGCAGTAACTAGTAAAGTAATCTCATTACAATTTAAAGAAGTAACTAGTAACTAATTACTTTTTTTAAGTAACTACCCCAACACTGTAAGCGGGTCATCAAAAAAAACGGATATAGTCAGAAAATCGGATTTGGGCATCAAGACCTGCAGTGTAAATGTAGCCTTCAAGTTTTAAGTAGCGAGAACCATAATCAATTTAGTTTAAGTGCTCAGGGGAATTGTTTTGCCCCTTCAACTTCAATTTGGGGGACGTTTTTATTTCTATTGGTGACATGTTTGTCCCAAGCCTCCATTAATTTCCAAAACTTGAGTTTCTTGTTATGTTTTTCAGTGTCAAAGAATGTCTCTGGAAAACAGAAGCTGAACCTGGTTCTGTGTGGAAGAGATCCAACACTTAAGGTCTCTTTGTCAAAACTTTTACGAGGGAAACCAATAAAACTTTCACATCAGAGAGTGAGCAGTGAAGTGTGTGTGAAGAAAGAGAAGATACATGATCGTGTGATCAGACTGGTGGAGTTTCCAGCTGTCAATCATCTCTCAGAGGAGGACGTGATGCGTCAGACTCTCCGCTGTGTGTCTCTCTGTGATCCTGGAGTTCATGTTTTCCTTATAATTGTTCCTGTTGGTCCACTGACTGATGAAGACAAAGCAGAAATAGAGAAGATCCAGAAGATATTTAACTCCAGAGAGCATTTCATGGTGCTCTTCTTCTCAGATCTCAGTGTTGAAGATCCAGTGACAGAGTTTGTCAAATCCAGCACAGAATCTCAGAGGTTAATCAGTCTCTGTGGAGATCAGTACAGAGTTATGGGGTTAAAGGAGTCCGAAATCTCACGAGAGATCCCAGATCTACTGGATTATATAGAGAACTTGAAGACTGAACCATATTCACTTCAGACATATGTGAAAGCTCAAGAGAACAGAGTCAGACGTGAAACAGAGGAGAAATATATAGAAGAACTGAAGAGAATGGAGGATGAAATGAAAGAGTTAAAGCAGAAGATTCCGTTAGAAGGTTTGTGCATTTTTTTGTTTATTTTAATATTAGCTAAGGCTGGTTCACACGGGACGTTTTTAAAATTGTCGGCTGATTTTCCAAACCCAAAAGACCCCACACACGGCAATTAAAAAATCACGGGTCTAACAGTTTTGGTCGTACAGTGTGTGGTGCGCAGCCACGAAGTAAAATCAACACATCACACACGAACCGATTTGACTCCTGAGCATTCCCAGGTCAGACTGAAAATCTCGCAAAATCCCTCGAGATCAAACGTGACTTCAGTCAAACGTAGACTGCAGTATCTCATGCGCCTTATAAAAAATGTTCTACAATAGGTCATTCATTGAAGGTGCGCCTTTTAATCCGGTGCGCCTTATAGTGCGGAAAATACAGTATATGCAAACAAAGTTTAAACTTAACAGAATTCTGATATTTAACCCCTTTCATGGGTTGCATGAAAGCATTTTAATAATTGAATGTCTAAGTGTCATGCATACTTAAAATAATAACTCTAAAAAAAGAAAAAAGTTATCAATAAGTGCATGTAGAAAACCTTTAAAAAAAAGTTATTATGTAACATAGCTGCTGAGAAACCCCCCAAAAAAGAGATGCAATGTATTGATTTATTTTGTTATTATTCATGCTTGACTATATAGGAATATACATATATGACATGGGTCACACATTTGAGCTTGTTCACAACCATTTCAACTGCATCTGAAAAGTTATAGAACTTTGGAAACATGGTGGCTTTTTATCAAAAGTCCATAAAAAATAGAAACTCTCCAAACAAGAGAGTGTTTTACTGATCATTATACCTACTTAAATGTATAAACTCCACAATGCATTTATTTATAATTACAAAGAACACTAAAAAGAACGTGTGTTGGCTTTACTTAACTTTTTTATGTAAACAGGTTCCATCGGTTCCACATAACTGGGTTTCGTTAAACAAACATAATTTGTTAATGTAACTTCAACATCATGGAAGTAATTTTAAGCCATTCAATTAAACTCTGAGCAGAGTGTTGAATTAACACTGAAGCAGTGTTAAAGTTAATGAGATAATTAAGTAAATAATTGAGTGATGATTGAGCATTATTGAAGACACCTGATGATAACAAGCAGAATCACTGAAGGAGAAAACCGGAATTTTTTAAGTCACCATTATGGTGATCAGTGTTTGCTTTAGTTGGGCTCTTGACCCTCAATTAATTAACTTTAGATGTTGTTTGGCTGTTGTACATTAGTTATAACAGCCAGATGAACAAATGGAAAAGGTGATCTGATGGGGATGGTTGTGTTTTAACATAATCAGTATTTCACAATCATTTGACCTGAAGCACTAAATTCATATAGAGCCTAATTTCTTAGGTTTATTAGGTTTACTTTATTAATTATAGCAGCAGTGACCTTGTACAGCATAATATTTTTAACGTTTACAATGTATTCAAAATAATTTCTTAAAAGTTTTTCTTACACAATTTTTTACTTTTATTCGAATTTTTTTAAGACACAGCCATCAATAATTAGCCTCTGAATCTCAACAATGGTGACAATTATAAAGCATGTTGCATTGCATTCTGGGTGCCACCAATCAAAACTCATTCATGGCTCCCGTCATGCATTGCTGCATGAATAATAATGATCTTACGTTCCGAGGTGATCTATTTGTCACCATTGCTGAGATTAATACACTAATTCTTGATGTCTGTGTGTGTCTAAATAACATATTTTGGGGGATTTTTATTTATTTATTATTTGATCATATGGATTTCATTGAAAAGGTTAAAAATAGTAAGTTCTAAAGATGACCGTGCTGCTAAAAGCCATAAGGACAATTTAACTCAGAATTTATGCTCTTGATGAGTTCAGCAATTCATTGTCAATTAATGATTATGTTAAAACACAACCAACACCATCAGATCACCTTTTCTATTTGTTCATATGGCTGTTATAAGTCACATACAGCAGCCAAACAAAATCTAAAGTTAATGAATTAAGGGTCAATAGCCCAGCTAAAGCAAACACTGATCTCCATAATGGTGACTTAAAAATTATGGTTTTCTCTTCAGTGATTCTGCTTGTTAACATCAGGTGTCTTCAATAATGCTCAATCATCACTCAATTATTCGCTTAATTATCTCATTAACTTTAACACTGCTTCAGTGTTCATTTAACACTCTGCACAGAGTTTATATAATTCACACTTCTCGGTGTTAATTTAACACTCTCTGTGTTAATTTAACACTGGTATTGCTGTGAGCAGTTCCAGCTGTGGCTTCTATTCTTTGACGAATAGATAATTCAAGTTCAAGATAACTCATAAATCATACATGTCAATCTGAGTGATCAAACCAATCTAAGCACACTCCAGCTGTAAAACAGTGTCCGACTTATTGTCCCTACAACCGCACTCGAAATCCAGTTTCCATAGCTTAAAGGGTCAACCCCCCACAAAAAAAATCATACTTTACTTAATTCTCTCCCAGTATTGACAAATATCATCAGTAACATTCGTCTGTGTTTTTGTTTAAAAATAATATACGAAATGAAAAACACCAAAAATAGACCTAATGATATTAATACATACATGATTTTAGGTGCTGAATGTTCAGATGATCAGGAGTGTCTGAGGATTGTGCTGATCGGGAGGACAGGAAATGGAAAGAGTGCAACAGGAAACACTATTCTGGGAAGACATGAGTTTGTGAGTCAAGCAAACATGGATTCAGTGACGACTGTGTGTGAGAAGGGAGTTGGTGAAGTTGATGGTCGATCAGTCGCTGTTGTTGATACTCCAGGACTCTTTGACACAACACTGACAAATCAACTAGCAGTGGAAGAAATAATGAAATGCATTTCATTTTCATCACCTGGACCTCATGTGTTCGTCATTGTGTTGAGTGTGGGAAGATTCATCCAGGTAGAAGCAGATACTGTAGATATGATAAAGAAGATCTTTGGTCTGAAATCTGCTCAGTTCAGCATCGTCCTGTTCACTAGAGGAGACGATCTTGAGAATGAATCTATAGAAGATTATGTGACGAGAGGAAACAATCAAGAACTGAAGAAACTGATCAGAGATTGTGGAAACAGATTCCTGGCTTTCAATAACAGAGAAAAACAAGACAAAACTCAAGTGATTCAATTGTTAAACATGATAGAAGAAGTGAGAAACACCAATGAGGGTCGATACTTCACTAACTGCATGTTTGAGGAGGCAGAGATGTCCATTAAAAAGAGGATGGAGGAAATAATGAAAGAGAGAGAGAGAGAAATGGAGAATCAGAGAGAAGAATTACAGGCTAAATATGAGATGGACATGAAAAACATGATGAAGAGACTCGAGGAAGAGAAACAAAGAGCAGACGAGGAGAGAAAGAAAATGGAGAATCAAATCAGAGAAAAAGAGGAAAAACTGAGAAGAGAGTTTGAAGAGAAAGAGAAAACAGAACAGAAGAAACGAGAGATTGAAGACCAGAAACGATCAGAAGAGGAAACACAGAGAAAAGCTGAATATAATCAAAGAATAGAAGAGATGAAGAGAAAAAATGAAAATCAAAAATCACAATTTGAAAAACAGCAAAAAGAAAGAGAAGAAGAAGATAGAAAGAGAGGAGAGAAATACAGAAAAGATCAAGAAAAGATGAAAGAACAAGAACGCATTTTAGCTGAGGTACAACAAAAAGAAGAAGAAGAAAGAAAAAAGAGAGAAACTGAGGAGAAAAAGAGGAATGAAGAGGAAGATAAAGAAAGACAGAGATGGGAAAGAAAAATAAAAGAGGCTGAAAACGACAGAAAAGAGACTCAAGAGGATATTAAACGACAGCAGAGAGAATGGGAGGATGAGAAGAAACGACAGATGAGAGAACGAGAGGAAGAAGAAAGAAAGAGAAAAGAGAAACACGAAGAACAACTGAGAGAAAAACAAGAAGAACTGGAGAAAATGAGAAAGAGATTTGAGAGAGAGAGAGAAGAAGAAAGACAGAAGATAGAGGAGGAGAGAGAGAAACAGAGAAGAGAAAGAGAAGAAAAAGAGAGAGAATATGAAGAAAATAAAACTAAAATGAAACGACATTATGAACAACTGGAACGAGAGAGAAAGGAGGAGTGGGAGAGAAAAAAACTAGATGATGATGAGAGACGAGAAGAAGAGAGAAAGAGATGGAAGAAAATGGTTGAAGATCTGAAACAAGAGCAAGAAAAGGAGAAAAAAGGAAGAGATGAAGAGGAGAAGAAGAGAAAAGAAAGAGAAGAGAACGAGAGAGATGAAATGAAAAAGAAACATGTAGAGGAAATAAAAGTTATGAAGAAGAAACATGAAGATGAAGCCAGAAAACAAGCAGAAGAACTGAATGATTTCAGAGAGAGAAATGAGCAGCACGTTCTGGAGCTCAAAGAGATGCTGGAAGAACGTCAGAAACAATATGAAATACTGGAAAAACTTTATCAACACCTGCAGGTCCAGAAAGGAGAAGAAATAAAAGAGCTACTACAAGAAGTTGAAAAACAGAGAAATAAAGGCAGTTGTGTCATTCTGTGATATTTGTGAAAGAACAATACTAATGCTTCTTTTATTAGTTAGTTCACCCTTGTAAAAATGAAGTGTGTTTAATTGTATTGAAATCATACTATTTGTGTACTTCAATTCTTAAAAGTATAATTTTGTGGTGAACATCAGTTAAGAAGGCAATTCAGGGACCAGCAACATTGAATAGGATGCTAAGACAACTGCCAGACCCAGGCACCTCAGAATGAGGACTTTCTGCACCCACCACCACCACCAAGGAGAAGACTGCCCATTGGTCTACTCTACAGGTTGACTCCAACCACCAAACTCATTCCTAAGGTTTAGGCAAGAACTGCCATGCACATTACTGGATGCTGCAGTAAAGAGAAAGGCCACAGAGATCTATCTAAATCCATTCATACACAGAAAAATCATCAGTGTTAAATTAACACTCCTCGGTGTACAGATGTGTCAACCCGATCTCACGACCAAGTCGTACGAATTCGACGAATGATTAAAAAGTGGCTAATTCGCAGAGGTGGGGACAAGTCACACATGGTCAAGTCCAAGCAAGTCTCAAGTCTTAACCATCAAGTCTCGAGTCAAGTCTCAAGTCGCAGTTCAGATAAATCAAGCAAGTCAAGTCAAGTCAAGGGTTCACCCTAAGCAAGTCAAGTCAAGTCCTGATAAGTTTCAAGTAAAGTCAAGTCACACTACTAAAATAAATAGAGGTAAATTTTTTCGATACATATTTATTTTTGCACAGAAAAGATGAACTTTTATACATATATTATATATCTTACATTTGCTATATTAATCATATGCATATCTGTGCTACATTAATATCTGAAAATAAAATAAAATTGTGTTGTTTACACAAAACGTTCAGAGTCTAAGATGTATCGATTCTAAGATGTATAATCCAATCTGTCTAATTCAATTTAATTGAAACGGTCTAAAATGTATGAAATCTAAAATGTAATATCTTATATCTTATATAAATGTAAAATATGAAATGTATGAGAATATAAAATGCAATTTTTTTTTAATTCAGTAGTTTTTCTTATCATAGCCAACAAATGTCTTCGGAAACTCCTTTTCCTCGATTTACTGAAACCTATATGTAAAACGCATTTGCAGCTGCACAGCCGTGTATATATCTATGCTGCATATACAGACATCCCAACCTACAAGAATTCATTTCAGGGAGGTATATCTCAATGAATGTAATGTTAGGGGGGGGGGTAATATATGTTATATTAACATATTTAAAATATGTTTAAAATAAATATAAAATAAAAATGGTAATATGTTATATTAACATATTTTATATTTAATAAATATTACATATTAAATAATATTATGTATATTATATATTAAATTTACATAAATATTAACAAATGATTGTTTTAATTATGGAATTCTCCATAATTATCTCCTAAACTTCAGTAGAGAACAATTCTTTGTAAGGAAGGAGGGGTTTCTTTATTGTACATTTATTTGCATGTAGTATGTAGCATATGGTTTGCGTTGCTTTAAATTGGTCAGTACAGCGCTGACTATTGAGTGTCGCTAGGAAACACGTCTGCGCTGCGCTGACGAATCGGCTGCGCGGCTCCGGTCATTGAACCGTGCAGATGACATGTCTGCGCGGCACGAGCTCTGTAAAGCTCCGCTGTCTCGTCCCACTTTTGGTTTGTTTGGCTTCCCATATCTCTGCCGTGCACACGCCGCACGCTATGTATGTTATACGCGCAGTATCTCGCTCTAGATTCCGGGAGATTTTAACTCATTTGCGGGCATCAGGGAGACGCTATCAATATGCGTGAGACTCCCGGAACTTCCGTTTGACGCGGTTTGAATTGAGCAGCGTAAAGGCACAGATGCCGATATATTGATGCTGACGTCATAATATATATTTTAATTAACTGTATTGCTGTTTGTTTATTATATGTTCAAGTCATTGTCGAGTCTTCCACTTCAAGTCAAGTCAAGTCTCAAGTAACTTGTTCTCAAGTCAAAGTCAAGTCAAGTCATTTTTGTACTTTAATCAAGCAAGTCACAAGTCCTGAAAATTGTGACTCGAGTCAGACTCGAGTCAAGTCATGTGACTCGAGTCCCCCACCTCTGCTAATTCGTAACAATTCATACGACCTCACTCGTACGAATTAATACGATTTTGCTAAATCGTACATATTTTACGAATTGGCCAATTCGTATGAATTCATACGAATGACCTACCCCTTACCCCGCCCCTAAACTTAACCATCACGTGGGTTTAGACAAATCGTACGAATTAGTACGAGTGAGGTCGTACGAATTAGTACGAATTAGACACTTTTTAATCATGCGTCGAATTCGTACGAATTGGTCGTGAGATAGTGTTGGATGTGTCCACACTACAGTGTGTTAATTAGATAACTAAGTGATTAATGAAGTGATGATTGGCCATTAGTGGTGACACCTGATGTTAATAAGAAGACTCAATGAAGGATAGAGAAACAACAAGAACAGAAAAAGAGAGACACAAGAACTACTGACTTCGAGCCTTTACACATTACTGCACTTATTATTACCGGTTTAAGTTTATTTCTGTCATATATCTATAAAGGTTCTTGAGATTCAACAGAAGTTTAAAGTTTTTTTTTTTTTTAGTTAGATACATTTTTCATTTCAAGTCACCATTATGGTGGTCAGTGTTCGTTTTAGTTGTGCTCTTAACCCTTTTAATTGTTTAATCCTCTTAGTACATGAAATATAGCTGTTCGTTTTTTTATATATATATATATATATATAACCTGTAACCTGAAGTATTAAAACCCTACCCTATCTCACAACCAATTCGTACAAATTCGTACGAGTGATTAAAAAGTGGCTAATTCGTACTAATTCGTACGATTTGTCTAAACCCATGTGACGGTTAGGTTTAGGGGCGGGGTCAGGGGTAGGTTATTCGTACGAATTCATACGAATTGGCCAATTCGTAAAATATATACGATTTAGCAAATTTGTACTAATTTGTACGAGTGAGGTCGTATGAATTGTTACGAATTAGCCACCTCATAAAATTCGTACGAATTCCCGTGAGATCGGTTGTAAAACCTGATATTGCACACTCCGGCACAGTAGGTGGCGGTATGCACCTGTACAAGTTGGTTGCGATCCGCCAAAAACCCAGAGAAGAAGAAGAATTGTTTAATCCTCTGAGGTCGGTGAATGCGCCGGCGCGTTTTGGCAGATTTTTTTCACATAGCCGAAAAAATAGATTTAAATTACTCTATCATTTCTGGTCATTCAGAGTTAAGAAATATGTAAAAATAAAACTGTTAAATGTCTACTTTTTTATGTGCCCACCTACAATCAAAATAAACTATTGTGCTTTTGTAAAATAAAGACAATAAACATGGTTGTGCGTTCTGCCTCTCTGTCTCCGTGAACTTTTTTTTCCTGGAGCACGTCTTTAAACTTAAACAAAACTCAGCGAATACTTTTTACCCAGGAATGATCAATATATATTAATAATCATTTAAGTTTGTACTTTTAAATTATCTTATTTGTGATGGTGGCGCAGTGGATAAGACACATGCCTTTGGTGTGAGAGACCCAGGTTCGAATCCACTGTGAGACACCAATGTGTCCCTGAGCAAGACACTTAACCCCTAGTTGCTCCAGAGGCGTGTGACCGCTGACATATATATATATATATATATATATATATATAGCAATGGGCTCTATGCACGGCGTTATTTCCTGTGAAGGATTAAGGATGCTCTATAACTTCCGCCGATCGTAGAGTCCAATGCAATACCGAGAATTTATATTGAATTTTATACTCCATGGTTATACTAATGAAACGTTAGTCACAAAAACAGATAAAACAGACACCCCTCGTTGTGTTTATGCTTCTTTTTAAAATTATATTAAATAAACATAACTATATATAAAATTACATCTAAACGTATGTACGTTTCGTTTCAAAGACGGGAGGACAGTAAATATTGAAGACTCTGCCATAATCCCGTTTTCTCCGGTTTTCCTCCGCTTTAATCTCCACAACCGGAAATGGACGAGCATCCTTACGTCAAATGCGGAACTTATGCGTGCATATAGCCCATTGTAAGTCACTTTGGATAAAAGCATCAGCTAAAATGAATCAATGTAAATGTAAATTTAAAACTAAAATAAATATTAGGCTTGTTTGAGATGCGCCTCGCCTCGCCTGCAATGTAGTCGAGAGTAGGCGGCTGCAGTGAGGGGAGGAGTGAAAAAAGCGCAATAAAGCCGGACAGATCTCGGTTCTCGCAGTGAATCAGACATCTGTGAGATCAAAGGCGGATATCGCGGGATTAACGGGATTCACGCTCGTGCACGTGTTGCTAATAAACTGTTGCTTTTATATAAAAATAAATATAATGAACAAGACACCCAAAGTACTTGTTATTTAATTACATTCCAAATAGCCTATGTGTTTATCAATCTTTTTTTTTCTTTAATACAGACGTGTTTTTATATAGGTAGCCTAGCCTATTGTTTTAACAAAAATGAAATATAACCCATATGGCACTGTCAGAGAGTTTATTCACCCATATGTATACACATAAAACATGATATCAGTTTTAAAATCAAACATTTTAAAAGAGAACAATTCATCTGTTGTTCTTTTATTTTTATTTTTATTTATTTTACCTTTTTATTAGAATGCAAGTTACAAACAGCCTACCTACAAGCACCACAATTCGTGAAACAAATAGGCCTATTATACAGCGACAAATAAATAAACATCAGAATAAAATTAATAATAAAATAACCTAAATAAATAAATCAAAATAAGCTTAGCTTAAATAGACAGACTTAAAAACTTCATCATCTATAAAATGAGAGCTATTTTTCACTTGAACATTTTAGAGTAGGCCTAGTATATTTGAGTTACTGACTATAGCTTTCTTATTTTTAACCCGTTTAAGAGATTCACAATATAGATCAGTTTCAATTTGAAAAAAATAAATAAATAAAACATGGCCTTGATTTGGAGAATTTAGCTTAATGAATATGGAATTTACCTTCATCACTGTTGTTTAAACCAATGAGCATTAAGCTGTGTCGTCAGCAAGTCGTTTCCCATCATGCTTTTGATCAGCGCAGTCGGTGGAGAGCAACTGCGCGCGACTGCAGAATCCGACCCTTCCGCCTTGCGCTCGCGAGAGTTTTTTGACATACGTCGGCATGACATCAGAGCCAGGCGGACCGTTCTCGGACACATTTCTAACCGGCATGCATCTCGCGCTGATCACCGGTGATCGATTCTGCGCAGAATTTGCTCATCTCAAACAAGCCTATTCTCTGTTTATGTAATTTATATAAAAAGATATCAGCCGTTCTTATTATCGTTCTCGCAGCTCATTATTTTCCTAATGTGACACGGCCATGGAAAGCACGTGCTATTCAAACGCTAATGATCTGAAGAAACACATTGAGACATGTCGCCCACATAAACTCGAGGTAAACACACTATTTTTAGTCAGATTAATGTACTGTCGTCTTGCGAGGCTGAGGATCTGTATTCCTGGGACTTTTACCTCTGGAGGGAAGAGTTGAGCATTTTGTAAGTGTTTTATTCTTGTGCTTTGTTCTAATCGCGATATATAATAGTGTCTGTAAACGCAAAAATAGCCTACTAATTAAATTTGAATCATGTTTCTGTGTGTGCGTGTGTGTGTGTGTGTGTGTGTGTGTGTGTGTGTGTGTGTGTGTGTGTGTGTGTGTGTGTGTGTGTGTGTGTGTGTGTGTGTGGACTGAATAAATGAATGCAGAGATGTGCTGTGTTACTTACGAAATAAAATACAACGTAGACAAACTCTAGGTTGGCTTGGAAAAGCCTAGACAGAAATTTTGAAAAAGTTTTAAACTGTTCTAGTATGGTTTAACATGATTTGCCATTTTCTTTATCTCAATCTCAATCTGTATTGTGATTTGTCTTGACTTGACCTGACTTTATGTCAATAATGTCTTTAACACTTTGAGACAGGCTGTTGTTCCATAATGCTTTAAGACCACCACCATCATATCTGCACCAAAGGAAACTTCTCCATCTTGCTTTAATGACTATCGCCCTGTGGCACTGATCTCCATCAAGAGAGTTCAGTCCTTGAGAGCCGCTGTCCTGCAGACCACTCCAACCCTAATCAAACACACCCGAAAAAAGTGCCCCCTACACCCTCTAATAGGGCATTATTTGAGGGGACAGCCATTTGCATTGGTGTTCGAAACCATAGTGGATGTAACTGAGTGCATATCCAACATTGTACCGCAATAACAAGTGGACAGCCGATGTATTGTATCAGCCTTCGATATTAGTCTTTCACAGTGTTGAATGTCAAGTGAATGTTTTTGTTTATTATTCACTGAATATTTTTTTCATCATCTTTCCGTTACTCTTTTGCCCCTCTAAACAGCGCTCCACGTTAAAGTCAATGCACAAAAGCCTGCAGAAACTGTTCAGCATTCCTCCTGTGGTCCAGACGGCAGCTGATCTGAGATCAGTTATCAGAGATGCAGCTGTGTCTGTGGTCAATTATTTTAAATATCGTTTGTACACAAAATATTGTTTACATCTAATGTTATTGGACTAAAACATGTCATCACTGCGGATCTGACAAGGCATTTTTTCTGTTGTTTCTGATGGAGTCACAGCGCCTCCTTCAGGAGACACACAGCGGCACACGATTCAAAGTGAAAGTGAAAGCAGATCCGACATTTTGTGAGTTCTCTTATGATGTCAGACATTTCACATAGAAAATAAATACTTTTTTCTAATCATTTTTTATAACAAATGAGGTCAGATTTAAGTATTTTTTAGACTTATTCATAGAATATAACCAGCTAAACATTATCTTCTTCAATTTAAAAAGATATATAAGTCAAATTCCATGAATAGACAGCTGTTCATATGTTACTGTGCATGAATGTCTGGGAAAATGTACTTGATTTTATTATAGAAAATATTGATGGAAATTCTATTTTACAGTGACAACAACAACACTATGCAATTCAGAAAGACAAACTCACACATTTGATTAATGACATTTTTTTAATGATTAAATTTTATTCATAACATTCAGTTCGAGTCTGGAAAATCATGTCTGTTTCTTGAACAAATTGCTTCAAAATATCCAGATCAAATGAAGTATGAGAGAGAGATAAAACATGGAAACAGTTTTGCTGCTGTGTGATGTTTCAGCAGAACTCGCTTGTCCTGTTGGAGAAACAGTAAAACATACTTCAGATCTTCAGTATTAGCTGTACTGGGATTCAGTGATTCAGCATCTGGAAAACCATTATGAAAGGAAGTGTGTAGAGGCAGAACAGTGCTTAGACATAAAGCTGAAACAATATCTGAAAATTTCAATTCTGAATAATATCTGAAAAAGGCATTTCAATGTATATAATAGTTGAATTTATGCTTTCAGTTTGCCTACCTAGTTTGGCAGTTATTGGTTCTTTGAGGGAACTGTGAGACACAAAACAATCATATTCATCTCTTTCCTCCTTCTTGATCTCCACACTCTTCCTCAGCTGATAGGATCCATCATGGTTTGGTCTGACTCCTGAGGATTCAATCTCATCATAACGCAGAGGTGTGTGATATTTCCTAAAGGTCATCCCCACCTCTTTAGGGTAGAAGCCGGTGGCCAGACAGGTCAGTATCAGCTTGGATTCGTCACTGGAAGACCTTATAAACAAATATACATCTGGGGGAACTGAAAACACAGAAATCAGTTTCATTTCCATTTGAAACATGCAGATAATAAACACATTTAAGCCTCATTCATACTGTCAGTTCAAATAGGATTTCTGTGCATATCCGATTGGGATCCGAACACATTTAGTGTGTGAACGGCAATTTAAAGGTGCGTTGTGTAATATTCAGAAGGATCTGTATTCAGACAGAAATGCAATATGTTCCTAAATGGATAAACGTGTTTCATTACTATGTCGTTCTCTGTGCAAAGAAGCTGCTAAAGTCAGCGAAATGAACACTCACACAATGATGAATAAAGTAACAATAATATTAACAATAACATATTGTTTCACTGAATAATTAAGTAAACCTAGCATCGTAATGTATCTTTGTAAAGAAACCTCATTGCTGAACTGGCTACTCTCTACTGTCTCAGACAACGACATCGCTTCCTGTCGGTTCCTGTTGCAATATGCAACCTCACCACTAGATGCCGCTAAAATGATACACGTGCTGATATGAGCAGAAAATTACAATATGGTGATATGTTTTGCAGAGATGGGAGCAAGTCACACGTTCAAGTCACAAGTAAGTCATGAGTTCATGGTTAGAATAAAAATATGGCAGGACTTTTACTTTTACCCCTGGACTAGGGCTGCACGATTAATCGTACGATATTGTTATGAGCATCTAATCAGTAAAGCCGGTTCCTTGATTAGTAGTAAATCACCTTCACCTGCTTTCAGATGGAAGATATGATGCAGATATGAGTGTTAAATGAACACTCAAGAGTGTTAAAGTTAATGAGATAATTAAGTGATTAATTTAGTGATGATTGAGCATTATTGAAGACACCTGATGATCACAAGCAGAATCACTGAAGGAGAAAATCACAAATTGTAAGTCACCGTTATGGAGATCAGTGTTTGCTTTAGTTGGGACACTTATACTTTCACTTTAAACTTTGTTTGTCTGCTGTTGTAGAGTTATAACAGTCAAACGAACAAAGACAACTGTGATCTAATAGTGTCGGTTGTGTAATGACAATCATGCAATGATCTGAAAAAAGAAACTCATTCAGATGATCTGATATTTAAAGTATAAACTAAAACATTTAATAAAAATTATTCTGATCAAATCACTTTTATCTTTATTTAGTAACATAGGGATCAATAATCAGCCTGTCTATCTCAACCGTGGTGACATTTATAATCCTTGTTGCCACCAATCACAACTCATTAATGGCTCCCATCATGCATTGCGGTATGGATAAATTATGATCTGAATTGTCTATGTACTTTTATTTTATTTATTTACTTTTCCTACTTGAATATTCGTCACCGTTGTTGAGATACATTGACTGAATCTTGATATCTGTGTGTGGCTAAAAGAATGATTTTTTTTTTTTTACAACTTTTAAGAAATCCTTTATGTTATAGCTCAAAATCTGTATACTTATGCAGAATCTCAGTTATAGTGTAACCAACAGCATAAATCACAGACATAAATTTCAAATAATGATTGTCAGAATATACCCAACACCATTTCATTTTTTTTCTTTGTTCATCTGGCAGGTATAACTCAGAAGCAACAGCCAATTAAAATATAAAGTTAATAATACAAAGGTCAAGAGCCCAATTAAAGCAAACACTGATCTCCATAACGGTGGCTTACAATTTGTGATTTTCTCCTTCAGCGATTCTGCTTGTGATCATCAGGTGTCTTCAATAATGCTCAATCATCACTAAATTAATCACTTAATTATCTCATTAACTTTAACACTCTTGAGTGTTCATTTAACACTCATATCTGCATCATATCTTCCATCTGAAAGCAGGTGAAGGTGATTTACTACTAATCAAGGAACCGGCTTTACTGATTAGATGCTCATAACAATATCGTACGATTAATCGTGCAGCCCTAGTCCAGGGGTAAAAGTAAAAGTCCTGCCATATTTTTATTCTAACCATGAACTCATGACTTACTTGTGACTTGAACGTGTGACTTGCTCCCATCTCTGATGTTTTGAGTCTGGCCTCCTTCTACCGTTGCCTCAGAAGACACGACATTGTGTCATGTTTTAAATAAGTTTTAATTGCTACTTTGTTGATTTATATACCTACAGTACCAACACAACATCATTTCCATAGAGAGCAATGCAGATATTACGGAAAACGAAAGAGTGGCATGGACACTTATATCAAAACTGAAGAAACACACATTGTGGACAGTGAATCATTTAAGATCGTATTTCATTCGGATTCACGGACAATCAGATTTGGAATGACAGTGTGAACACATCCAAACTCACGTGCGTTTCTAAACTCGTCTCTATATTCTCTGAATTTGTTGAGCCAGTCCACACACTCTTTCTCCAGGTAACCTTTGGTGTATTGGCTTAGGATCGGCACACGGTCCCATTTTCTCTTGGTTGGTCGAGCTGCGTCAACTGGGGCGACCCATTGAGACTCTCTATCATCAAAAGACAGGAAGTTTTCTCCATCGTAGCCGTACTCAGAAACACCTTTGAGAAACCTCACGTCACTTCCCTGCTGCTCAACTTCACAACCGTGTCTCCACTGAAGAACATGAAGATCTGAAATAGAGATGAAGCAAAATGTTAGCAACAATAATACAAAATAATATAATTAATTAATTTAGGTAAGGTTAAACTTGTTCAACGTTCCTCACCTGTATCATTTTGTCCCATGCGCTCCATCAGAATCTTGATATTGACGTTAAACCACTGTTCTTTGCTCTCTCTCGACAGAGTGCCTTTTTCCCAGTAATCCTCCTGCATTTTCTCCTTCATCCAGTCCTGTGTGGGAATCTTTCTCTTGTCTTTACTATTGTAATAGTCGATCTGTGTGTCGTCTAGCAGACCCATAGCAGTGAATTCATAGATGCCCGGCAGATCCACAGGTTTGGACAAACCAGTGTAAATGTAAAACAGAGAGTGTTTCTCTGTAATAAAGAGGAATAAATTATTTTAATTGAAAGTAATGAAGCTGGTAATGCTGTTTATTCAGTTCTCTGCTGAGATCTTCACAGATTTAATGTCTTCTTTTCTCTTCAGGTGATTTCATCTAAAACTGTGTGTGAAGTCACTTGTAGTTCTTGTGTTTCTGCTCGTCTCTTCTTTCCTTCAGTTATTCTGTTAACAGGCTTAATAAGGTTGAGATGACTCCATGTTTAATATACACTCAGATAAAGTCCAGTTCTGGTTTATTTCTTTGCTCTTGGCTGACATGTGGTTTTGCTATGGCCTGCTTGTGGCCCAGATCTGGCAAACAGGAGTGGGCCACCCAACGGCCGAAGTAATGTTGCTATGTGGGATAGACTTTTAAATAGGCTACCCACTGAGCAAAATGATGTCCAAAAGACGTCTTTTCAACGTCTTTGTCACAAAAGTCGGATGTTGAAAAGACGTCCACTGAGGGGCCAGAATGAATGTTTTTATGATGTCTTTTTTGACGTGTTCTGGACGTCTGATATAGACTTTCATCGAACCTTCACTGTAAAAAATTTGTTGTAGGATTTACTTGAAAAAACCTTGCTAATGTATCTCACTCAGCAAATGCTAGTAAATTTACAAAGATTTGCCAAGTAAAAACCTAAACATATTTATCAGTAGCTTTAATTAGAAATCTTTAAGTTAAATTTACTTGGAATATGGAATTAAGTAAACTTTACAAAAAATAAGTAATTTTAACTCGGCTTGTAAAAGGTTGATTAACACCGATTTCCTTTGCCTTTGTATTACATTTCACTAAAACAATAATCTTGAATTTTATTAGTCATTTATAGTATGTTCTTTACTTAGATCATCTAAGTAATTTATATATACATCATGTCAGATGTTAAGCATCATGTGAATGCAAACACCTCAATACTTGGTAGACAATACACAATGGCGGTAACATTTGATGGGTCGTTTTTGTGTTTGAATGTGTCATTTTGCGCAAAAAATTTACTAGAAATGTCACAAAATGGCAATTTACTAATACTGACAACAAAAATCAATGATAAAACAGTGTAAATACAGCTGGAAACCAGTGAAAAATGAGCCTCATTAATTATTCAAGGTCCAGTGCATGCTCAGTATCAGAAAAGTTGAGTCATTTTTACTTAATTTTATTGAGTTGATATTTACACTTTCATTTCTACTCGCTTGAATTAAGTACTGATATGGAATTTACTTAGTTTTTTAAATTCTTGCCTCAACTAACTTTTTCAAGTAAATTACATTGGGTTTTTTCACTAGTATTTACTTCACCAAAAAATCATTTTTTACAGTGTTCGTACAAGGTTAAAAACTAGTTCAAATGTGGCCATTGTGGACATGTTTTCAACCAGTGTTGCCAAATATTTTCAAATGAAAGTAGCTAACGCCTTCCCTAAAAGTCGCTAAATGTCGCTAGATTACGACATACGTTAATTAGCATATTTGTGGCGTCATCGCGTCGTACTTGCATTCCGCTTGTCTAATGTGTTTTCTCTATAAATTAATGCTCAGCTCACATATTGTATTTAATATATTATAATAAAATATAGCCGAATGTAAAATAAAGCTGTTCTCATTTCCTATATATTTTTTGTCACACAGAACGAGTTGATATAGGCCTAGTGAATGACAAAAAAAGTAATACTGTAAGCACAAGAAAAGAAAGGAAACTAACTTGTTCAAATAAAAAACAATATTATTTAAAGAAAGCGGATAAGTGTGGCCGTGAGTTCAACAGATCTGCTGTTCCTCTCAGCCATTCACTAAACAGGGTAGACGTAGAGTGAGTGACAGCAGGGAGAAAGCAAAAAGTCGGGGTCTAAAAATAGCGACTCATTTGCGCGATTGTTTTGCAGTTTGTACGCGGATGAGAACATCTCCTGCTGGGAGGGGCAGCTGCATGAGGACTGGGCCACCTGTGAGTGATTTGGGCCGGGGTGGGACCCACGCAGCACCCGCTGCTCGTTGAGATGAGGAAAAACGATATGTGATTTCACGTCAGAAAGTCTCCAAAAGTCTCTAATAACACCAGAAAAAGTCGTTAGATTTGTCGCTAGTCGCTTTTTTGAAAATTTGTCGCTAGAGGGGTCTGAATACTCGCAAAATATAGCGCAAAATCGCTAAGTTGGCAACACTGTTTTCAACATCATTTATGGTCTCATTTAGACAATTTAAACTGTTTCTGGACCAATTAAACACTCTCAGGATGCTTTAAATTAAAACTCATGTTTATTTCAATGTAATTTCCTTAAATTGTTTAGATGAGGCTTAGAAGTTATTTGATTAACTTTAAGTCACCATTGTGGTGATCAGTGTTTGCTTTAGTTGGGCTCTTGGTCCCAGATCACCTTACTTTAGCTTTTCTTTGGCTGTTGTAACTGTGTGTCTGTTTAACACCATTGTTGTGACGGAGAAAGCCAAGAAAAAGTCAAATCAGCTGTCATCAGCTCCTTATTGATGATGATATTGTCAGCCCAAAGTGATTATTTAACATTGTGTTTATACTTTTGTCTAGCAATTATAATCATCGATCTTGTGGAACTGCATTGTTTGGGGCATTGCATAAAAATGATCACTTATTTGAAGGTGAATAAAATCACAGTCACACACAAACATAAAGATTTTGGATATGAGTCTCAACAATGGTGACAACCAAAACTACCCATCATGCATTGCAGCATGAAGCTTTATTATTGTCACCATTGTTGTGATACATATACAAAATATTGATGTCTGTGTGTGACTATATGCGGCATTTTCTCAAAACATAGTGTAAACATGCTTTTATTTCCCTTCAAATAAGTGATCATTTTAATGCGTATAGCCCAAACAATGCAGTTCCACAAGATTGATGGTTATTAATGCCAACAAAAAAGACAAAAGTCTAAACACAACCATAAATACTTGCTTTGTTTGATTCTGTCATTATCAACAAGAAGCTGATGACAGCCAATCATACTTGTTCTTGGTTTTCCCTGCCATAAACATTATATTTTACAAATACACAGTTACAACAGCCAAAAAAACTAAAGTAAACTAAAGCAAACGCCGATCACCACAATGGTGATTTAAAATGAAACGAATAACTTCCAAGCCTCATCTAAACAATGTAAGGAAATTACATCCTGAGAATGCTATTTATTTGGTCCAGAAACAGTATAAATTGTCTAAATGAGACCATAAAAGATGTTGAAAACATGTCCACAATGGCCACATTTGAACTAATTTTTAAACTTGCACGAAGGTTCGATGAACGTCTATATCGGACGTGCAGAACACGTCAAAAAAAAAAGACGTCATAAAAACTTTAATTCTGGCTCCTCAGTGGACGTCTTTTCAACGTCCGACTTTCGTGACAAAAGCGTTGAAAAGACGTCTTTTGGACATCATTGTGTTTAGTGCGGTTAATACAAGTAGGATTGTGAAAATAAAGTATTTTTGTATCCAGATTTAGACCTCTTGTCCTGTGATAGCGAACCTGGGTGTTCTTTTGAAACTTCCCCATTCAGTGAAACGAGGTGGCGTAGTCTGCTTGTTTAATTTGGTTATACTTTGCCCAACCCCTACCACATATACATACATAAAAATCCTGGGTTAAAATAACAAATGTTGGGTTAAATATGGACAGACCCAGTGATTGGGTTGTTTTTTTTTAACCAACCTGCTGGGTAACTCAAATATTGTTTAAAAATAACTATATTGCTTGATTAAAATGAACCAAAATGGACATTTAATGTTTAATAGATAACGTTTATTAATACATTTAATAAATAATGGTCAAACGGTGAACATTTATTAAATTGCATTTCACTTTTTGATTATCATTGTTCCCTTGTGCTTTGTGTCATAGAGAGGGTAAAGACCCGTTAAGAGGAAGAGATTTTGAGAGGAAAATGTGAATGCTCTTGGATTTACACTTTAAATAGTTCATCGCCATTTGTATTGAATGAGAAGTTCGATATTTTTAATGTATTTTGATATGTCTAGATATTGATCGTTAAAATGGATTCTGTTACAGTTTAACAGAGTTGAGGTATTTGTCTCCCTGTGAGGGTATATCTTGACAAGTGATTGAGAGTACACCTAATTAAGGTGTCCATAAAGATTTGCATTCCACTTCACAAAGTTTGTGCCTGATGATGACACTGATGGTCGAAATGTACAAGGTTATAATAATAATAATAATAATAATTACCTGCTTGAATTGAAGGCAAAGTCCCATAAAGAAGAAAGACAAAAAGGAGATCTTCAAAGATCTTCATCGCAGCGCTCGTGATCATGACTGAAAGCCTAACGTTTACTATTTCATGGTTATACATGCCCGGAAATCTAACCTATAAAGGTGTTAAAAGCGAGAAGCAAATTTCCTGAAATCTGGTCTGAGAAAGACATGCGCACTGAAGTGATGGTTAAATCTTGTGGAGAGCAATAAAGACCACACAGCCAGTGAGAAAAAAAAACATAATGAGGTTTGCAAATGCTGTGTGAAAGTGCACTCAAATATCACAGTACAAAAAAACACACACTTCACACTACAGCTGTTTACTGCAATAAAGAAAGGTTGTACCGAACAGCTATAGGGGTATAGCTAAACAATTATTTCACTGAATACGTTTGAGTTTTCTGATGGCATTAAATAATGTAAATCTGTCTGTGTGGCTTTTCTACTCCACATTTCACGTAACGACAGTTTTGAGCTAATTTACTCATCTATTGTATTCGTTAGCCACCTCTAACAAACTATTTGTATTGTGATGCTTCAAAACTGGCTGCATGGCTGAGTCCTGTGAAGCAAGTGCTCATGTGTGGCAGTCACTGCTTTGTGCAACCATGTAACTTTTTCAAAGTGCTCATACACAGCAAAATCCTCAGTGTTAAATTGACACTTAAAAGTGTGAATTATATAAACTCTGAGCAGAGTGTTGAATTAACACTGAAGCAGTGTTAAAGTTAATGAGATAATTAAGTGAATAATTGAGTGATGATTGAGCATTATTGAAGACACCTGATGTTAACAAGCAGAATCTCTGAAGGAGAAAAACTGTATTTTAAGTCACCATTGTGGTGATCAGTGTTTGCTTTAGTTGGACTCTTGACCCTTAATTCATCAACTTTACATTTTTTTTGAATGAATGAATGAATGAAAATAAACATTATATTAAAATTCAACTTCGGAAATCATTGAAACTGATTACCAGACTGCTATAAACTAGAATAGTAAAGTGTGGGAGCTCACTTCATCATTATCATCATCAACATGCAGCCGGACACAATGAACCATGATTAGATGTGTTGAACAGTGCTGATACCGTACTTCAAATAATAGCCGAGTCCCAAATAGACGCCTGTCTCTTTTACATGTCTGGTGTGTCTGCAGGTTTCGGTAAATAAAAGCCGGTCTCAAATAGAGAACGGGTCTGTTTTTTTTAGTTTCGGGTTGTTAATCTTCTAAAACCCATCAGATCGTCTGCTTTTTGGCGGCCGCCAAAACTAATTTTTGTCCCGCCAAAGCCTATTTTGATCGGTGAGTGATGTAGAATAAAATAAATGCTGCACTTGACAGGGAGCATAACGAGCAGAGAGAGAGAGCGAGCGAGCGAGAGAGAGAGAGAGAGAGAGAGAGAAAGAGAGAGAGAGAGAGAGAGAGAGAGAGAGAGAGACCCGGCCACGCACGCGCACTCTCACGTCTTCAAACAACACGAGCGCTTTCTCCCTCGCGCATATTAATCAATTGACACGATAGTAAAAGGTTGGAAGACCGCAGTTTCACGTGGAGCATTTGGAGATTTTTAGAGATTAGAGACTCAATGAACAACATCTCAACACTAAATTATAAAGTGCTGTCTCATATAGACGCCTAAAGTGAGTGAAAGCAGTAGTGAAAGTAGGAGGGCGCTAAGCCAGTGGTCAATTAGTAAGTGAGGGTCCTTGAGCTTGATGCGAGCAGTGATTGGTAGCCAGTAGGGCTGGGACAATAAATTGATGCATTGCGATTCGTGGATCGATTCCAATTTTTCCCGAATGCATTGTGTTTGGTGTTTCTGTCTCGAATCGATCCTGAGCTTTGTTTTTAACGGCAGATGGCGCTCTAGGCTAGTTTTTAACCGCATACTACTCAAATGCTCACAAAGAAGAGCGCTCGTGCAATCGGCTGAGTCCGATAATGTGCACCTCTGAATTCTTTTATGCCCACTGCAAACACCCCTATAATTCACTTCAACCTTTTCAAACTCTATGAATGATTATTTCATAGAAGGTTTAAGTGGTGTGTAAGGCATTGGAAGCCAGCAGAGTATGGCTGTTTCTAAAGCATGCAGTGCCCTCTGCTGTTAAAAACTGTTAATGAATCGATTCGAGACTAGAGAATCCCGATGCATTCGGAAAAAAATCGGAATCGATACACGATACACCGATTTATTGTGCAGCCCTAGTAGCAGAGAGATGAACAGAAGAGTGACGTGGGCCCTTTTGGGCTCATTGAAGACAAGGCAGGCTGCAGAATTCTGGATCATTTGTAGAGGTTTAGTTGCACATGATGGAAGTCCAGCCAGAAGAGCATTGCCGTAATCAAGTTTCGATGGGTAAAAGTTTTAAAAACGTAAAATCGTCTTTTTTCCCCATTTTTTTTGGTCTACTAATAAGTCACAGCATAATTTACAAGGACAATAACAACATCATCTTATGAAATTATTTTGACATGTATGAAATAATAAATCATGCATTTTGTTATAATTTATGAGAGATTATTTGATGGTTCGCTGGAGAGCTCAGTCGAGTGATGGTGAGATAACAGTAATAGTACTTGTTCATTAGAAACATTGAGACAAGCAATGATCATATCAAACAGGACTGAATGGTGGAGTCAGTGTCTACATCATTATTTCTGTCGCACTTCCTCATCCTGATGCCTGACCTTAGAAAATATGTTCATGTTTTCATAAAGCTTTAACAATCATGCTTGATCACGTGTGTTTTAGTCTTCTCAGTGGCAGACAGTCTTTTGAGTGTATTTTCACACAGTGGAAACATGGCTGTGTTTGTTTACTCTTTAAGATAGATTCGGCTGATCTGTCATTTCAAGTTTATCACTTTGCTCAAAGACACTTTTCATGAGAAGTGAGCATGAACCAATGCAATTGTAATTTTTCTTTCTTTAACACTCATCCGTTGAATCATGTTTGAATCTCTTTGTATATGATCTCTGCATTCAAATCTTTAAATTACAGTTTATTCATTGGCTGAGAATCAAACCCATGACGACTTCAGAGTTGCTTTATGATGTTAAGTTAATATAATGTATCTGATCTAATCCAGCAGGTGGCGTGTGATTTATGTGAAATCTCTCTCTCTCTCTCTCTCTCTCTCTCTCTCTCTCTCTCTCTCTCTCTCTCTCTCTCTCTCTCTCTCTCTCTCTCTCTCTCTCTCTCTCTCTCTCTCTCTCTCTCTCTCTCTCTCTCTGTGTGTGTGTGTGTGTGTGTGTGTGTCGCGCATCGCGCATGCGCACTGCTGCCCTCTCGGGTTGTGCGCCTCTACCACAACCTGAAAGGAAATGTTTATTTTCAGACTACAGGCTCGTGCAGCAGGAGTGTGTTTGCGTTTGTAGATTGTTTTGTTTAGACGTGTTGTGGTGAAGTGTTTCTTTAGAAGTATTTCATGAATTCATCTGTCGGATTTACAGCGCAAGTTTTTGGATGTTTACTTCAGTTTGATCTAATCACCGTTAACCCGGAGCGATCGACACTGAAAACAGAAACGCGACTCCTGAACGTGTCTGATCTCTGATGGAGTTGTTTACTTCAATAAAAAAGTTTTTGCAGATGTGTAAAGGGACCGGATCTGGAATGTAAACCCGAGACCGGTGAACACATGATTCCTATTTTGATCGGTGTATTCTTGTGTGAAGAGCGCGTCCCCGCGTCAATGATGATGCTTTACCCGGAGAGACTGAAGTAAAGGAGTGTGTTTCCCGGTCATGTGTTCAGTGAGAGCTCTCCAGGACTGGTGTCGAGATGTTTGTGAAGGCTATTCTGATGTTCAGATCACAGATATGAGCTCCTCATTCACAGATGGACTGGCTTTCTGTGCGATCATCCATAAGCACAGACCCGATATACTGTAAGAAGCGAGTTTATTATTTTGATCTACTGTAAGAATAAACACTGATTCATCGAGTCATGACTTTTTAATATGATCATCTGTAGACTAGGCAATAAATTAGCCAGTTAATAAGAAATATTGGACAAAACTAGTTCAATATAATGGTTCAATAAACATGTAGTAAATTATGGTCAAAGGTAGTTTTTCAGTGCCATAATCTGATAATAATAAGAATATAAGGGCTTTTATGAATATTTGTGTGTTTACCATGATATTCTATGGTAACTTGGAAAAAAAAATTGCTCTAAACAAAAAACTCCCAGTTTGAAAACTCTTGCTCTAGATTATTTAAATGCATTTTTAGTAACATCTTGTGTGTGTTTCTTCTCACATCCACGTGTGTATCTGATGAATCTTCATCTTTCGGTTTGTTTCTCTCTGCAGAGATTTCCACTCTCTGTCCAAACACAACATCTACGAGAATATGCGTCTGGTGAGTTTCTGTTGAGATCAGCTGGACTTTAGTTTCTGTAGCTGAAGATGTTGAAGCTTCACATGTGAGATGACAGAGGAATAAGCTCAAAGAAAGAACTTAATCCGAATTGACAATAATCTCAGATTCAGATCAGGTTTTTGCTCCCTGAGGAATAAACTCCCTGTGATCATTGCACCTGTGATCTTTGCACCTGTGGTGAATGTTCTTGTTGAGTAGTTTGTCCATTTCATGTCCTTTATTTCTCTCCATCATCAGGCGTTTGTGGTTGCGGAGCGAGAGCTGGGAATTCCTGCTCTGCTGGATCCGGATGAGCTGATGTGTGTGGAAGAGCCGGATCTTCTGTCCATCATCACTTACGTCTCACAGCTCTACTGTGTCTTCAATGGAAAACCCCTCGGTACGGATCATGAGAAACTGTAAACGAATGAAGATCTCACATGTTCATCATGATTCAGTAGAGCTGACATTGATTGATAATCTCTGGATCTGATCAGATAGTCAGACGATTCCTGTGAAGGCTGAACCTCGCAGAACCATAAGACAAGAACAGACTCACACTCAGGTATCTGTCAGTCTGTCTGTCTCTCTCTGTCTGACTGTCCCTGTCTCCCCTGTCTGTCTGTCCCTCTGTCTGTCTGTCTGACTGTCTTTCTGACTGTCCCTGTCTCTCTCCCTCTGTCTCTCTGTCTGTCTCTCTCTGTCTGTCTGTCAGTCAGTCTGTCTGTCTGTCTGTCTGTCTGTCCCTCTGTCTGTCTGCCTGTCTGTTCCTCTGTCTGTCTCTCTCGTCTGTCTGTCTGTCTGTCTGACTGTCTCTGTCTCCCTCTCTCTGTCTGTCTGTCCCTCTGTCTGTTTGTCCCTCTGTCTGTCTGTCTGTCTGTCAGTCAGTCTGTCTGTCTGCCTGTCTGCCTGTCTGTCCCTCTGTCTGTCTGCCTGTCTGTTCCTCTGTCTGTCTCTCTCGTCTGTCTGTCTGTCTGTCTGACTGTCTCTGTCTCCCTCTCTCTGTCTGTCTGTCCCTCTGTCTGTTTGTCCCTCTGTCTGTCTGTCTGTCTGTCCTGTCTCCCTCTATCTGTCTGTCCCTCTGTCTGTCTGACTGTCCCTCTGTCTGTCCCTCTATCTTTCTGTCCGTCTGTCCTTCTTTCTGTCTGACTGTCCCTGTCTCTCTCTGTCTGTCTGTTCCTCTGTCTGACTGTCCCTCTGTCTATTTCTTTCTGTCTGTTCCTCTGTCTGTCTGTCCATCTGTCTATCTCTCTCTGTCTGTCCCTCTGTCTGTTTGTCCCTCTGTCTGTTTTTATGTCTGTCCTTCAATCTATGTGTCTCTCTATCTTTCTGTCCCTTTGACTGTATGTATGTCTGCCTGTTCCTCTCTCTGTCTGTCCGTCTCTCTGTCTGTATGTCCCTTTGTCTGTCTGCCCCTCTGTCTGTTTGTCTGTCCTTCTGTCTGTATGTCCATTTGACTGTCTGTCCGTCTGCCTGTTCCTCTGTCCGTCTGTCCCTCTGTCTGTCTGTCCCTTTGTCTGTCTGTTCCTCTCTCTGTCTGTCCGTCTGTCTGTCTGTCTGTCCCTCTATCTGTATGCCCCTCTGTCTGCCCCTCCGTCTGTCTGTCTGTCTGTCCCTCTGTCTGTATGTCCATCTGTCTATCTCTCTCTGTCTGTCCCTCTGTCTGTATGTCCGTCTGTCTGTCTGTCTGTCCTCTATCTGTATGCCCTCTGTCTGCCCTCCGTCTGTCTGTCTGTCTGTCCCTCTATCTGTATGCCCCTCTGTCTGTCTGTCTGTCCCTCTGTCTGTATGTCCATCTGTCTATCTCTCTCTGTCTGTCCCTCTGTCTGTCTGTCCCTCTGTCTGTCTGTCTGTCTGTCTGTCCCTCTGTCTGTATGTCCCTTTGTCTGTCTGTCAGTTTCCTGTCTGTTCCTCTGTCTCTCAATTTGAATGTCTGCCTGTCTGTATGTCTGTCCCTCTGTCAGTCTGTCGATCTGTCTGTCTGTCTTTCCCTCTGTCTTTGTCGCTCGTTCTGTCTGTCTGTCATTCATCTCTCTGCTCTCTTCTCTCAGTTCTCATCAGATGGGATTAGATCTTCAGATAAAAGTGTCTGTAGTGTCTGTCACACACGTGTTCATCTCATTCAGAGGGTTTTTGTGAAGGGACACTTGTATCACCGCTCCTGCTTCAGGTAAAACACACACACACACGTTCACACACACTCACTCACACACACACACACTCTGATAGTCCTGACTGTCTCATGGTGTGTTTCAGATGCAGTCGCTGCCGTCGGTCTCTGCTACCGATGTCTTTCACAGAAGACAGTGAGACAGGTTTACTGCAGTGCAGTTATCAGTGCAAACCTGTTCCTGAACACGACCGGCCCGCAGAAAGAGACAGAGACAGAAGTGAGACAAACAGAGAAAGAAGTGAGACGAACAGAGACAGAAGTGAGACGAACAGAGACAGAAGTGAGACGGACAGAGACATAAGTGAGACAAACGGAGATAGAAGTGAGACAGACGGAGATAGAAGTGAGACGAACAGAGACAGAAGTGAGACAGACAGAGACAGAAGTGAGACGAACAGAGACCAAAGTGAGACAGAAGGAGACAGAAGTGAGATGAACAGAGACCGAAGTGAGACGAACAGAGACCGAAGTGAGACAGACAGAGACAGAAGTGAGACGACCAGAGACCGAAGTGAGACAGAAGGAGACAGTGAGACGAAAAGAGACCGAAGTGAGACAGACGGAGACAGAAGTGAGACAGAAGGAGACAGAAGTGAGATGGATGGAGACGTGATCAGTGAACATCTCTCCACATCATCGGAGATTGACAAACAAGAACCTCCCAAACCTGCTCCCAGAAAGAGGGTGGAGCCTCAGGAACCTGCTTGCCCCGCCTCCAAATCACAGGACCGTCAACCTGACAAAGGTTAGAATCTTCACTCCGGTGTTACTCTATAAAGTTACTATTGTTAACATCATAAACAACAGTTCGAAGTCTACATTCTGATTGAATGAGACAAAACAACTTACTCATTTCCAAGCTTTTGGAGGGCGCATAAGTCTGAACCAGCGAGTTTAGCTGTAGAGGTGCAGAGACAGTGGTCGCCTTGTAGGCAAACATCAGTGCCTTGAATTTCATGCAAGTGGGTATTGGCAGTCAGTGCAAACTGATGAAGAGAGCCGTGCGTCTCTTCGGCTCGTTAAAGACCACCCTCGCTGCTGCATTCTGGATCAGTTGCAAAGGCTTGATACTACATGCTAAGAGAGCATTAAAATAGTCCAGTCTGGAGAGAACAAGAGCTTGGACAAGGAGTTGTGTTGCTCTGATAGGTAGGTTATAATCGTCTTAATGTTGTATAAAGCAAATCTGCAGGACTGGGGCATTGCAGTAATGTGGTCTGTGAAGCTTAACAGATCATCAATCACAACTCCAAGACTCCTGGCTGTCCTGGAAGGAGTAATGGATGACGAACCCAGCTGAATGGAGAAGTTGTGGTGTAGTGTTGGGTCGGCTGAGACCACAAGCAGCTGTCTTCGCAAGGTTGATATGAAGGTCCTTCATCCAACAAGAAATGTCTGTCAGGCAGGCTGAGATGCGAACAGGTACCGTCGGATCATCAGGCTGGAATGAGAACTAGAGTTGTGTGTCATCAGCATAGCAGTGATCCTAGGTAGAACATGTAGATTGAGAAGAGAAGTGGTCCCAGTACTGAGCCCTGAGGCACCCCATTAGCATGAAGTTGTGACTTAGCCACCTCACCCCTCCAAGATGCCTCGAAGGACCTACCTGAGAGAGGTAAGACTTGAACCTCTGGACTGCCTGTAAATCCTCATGAAGATGGGTGTCACAGGAACTGAGACTGCTGCCTTTAACAGAACGAGAACTGAGGATAGCCAGTCTCAGTTCTTCAGTTTCACTTGAGTGTCCGCTTTTGAAACCAGATCGGTTGTTGTCCCGGATGATGTTCTGTGCGAGAAACATGGAGAGTTGGTCAAACACAACTTGGTCAAGTGTCTTTACAATAAAGGGAAGAAGGGATATTGGTGTGTAGTTTTCTAAAAGTGATTTAGAGCGGGTTTCTTAAGCAGTGGGGTTACCCGAACTTGCTTTAATGCTGTGTGAAGAGAAGAGTTAATAATGTGAGTAAGTGCAGGTGTAACTGATGTGATTGGGGATAGGATCAAGTGGACGGGTAGTAGGATGATTGGAAAGGATACGTTTGGAAACGTCTGCTTCTGAAAGTGGACAGAGGGAGGAGAGAGTGTGCATTTGTTAGGATGTTTTAGTCAGTTTGTGATGTGGAGAATTGGCCGCTGATGGTTGTTGTCTTGTTTATGAAGAATGTTGCAAAGTCGTCAGCTGTAAGAGTCGATGAAGGAGGACAAAGAAGAGAAGGTTTTGAAAAGAGAGTCAGAACAATTGTTATTTTTGTTGTGGTATAGTATTGTTTTAGTAGTGGACAGATTTGCAGTGAACGAAGAGAGGAGAGACTGATACAAACTAAGGTCAGAAGAGTTTTTTGATTCTTGAGAGTCTAGAGAGATGTTCACAAAACTGGCCCGGATGAAACGATCTTAAAGTGGAGCAAAGAGTGTTAGTGTCCAGTGCTGAAAACTGAGCGGGTGGAGGATGTGTAGATGAAACCGTAGAGGATAGGCGAGAGTGTGAGCGTAGGTTACGCCGAAAGGTGACATGCGCAGGAGTGTGTGTTGTGTCAAAAAAACTCAATTTTAATAGATTTTATCATAATAGCGTTATTTATATATTTTATATATTACGGGTTTATATATTTAATCTTAAATAGGTCATTATTACGGTGATGGTTCAGCTTGATGTTTTAAATGCATGTTTCTTAGTGTCTCATGTGTTTGTCTCGTCTCAGTCTCGTCTCAGCGAGTCGTCCGTAAGGATCATCCCTGGAGGAAGATTGTTGAACCGGGTCCCTGGTATCGTCTTCCTCCGACTCAGTCCGCTCACTCCCGCCACTGCCCCGCGACCTTTAACCCCTTCCTGGAGGACGACAAGGAAAAGTCAAAGGATGAAGAGGTACGGAATGAAGATCAGATTCATGTGACCTTCTGGTCCTGGTCTGTTTATCCTCAATTCTACAAAATTCAACATTCACATTCTCAGAATAAACCTTGCAATAAAACTTGCTCAGCTACTTTTACACTGTGCGTTAAATAAGTAAGGATAAAACACAAGGAAGAACTAGTCTGTAAACCTGAGGTAGTTTCTGAAACACAAGTCCCAGATTATATTTAGACTCTAGTTTGGACGAGTCTTGTGTTCTGGGAATAGAGCTACTGGTGTTAGCGGAGACGCTCAGTATCAGGTTTATCTGAGGAACACACTGGTTCTGATTCAGCACAAACACAAGAAGCTTGACTGAACAAATCATTTGCTCTTAGATAGTGAAGAAAGTGTCTCAAGTTTGATTTTTCAATTAAACAACCTCAAACTTCACCCAATTCTTCATCCAGTCATGTTGGGATCAGAGCTCAGATTCAGACCAAGAACCTGGATCTCCATTTTAATGAACAAGACTGTGCATTCATTTCCTTTTCAGAGTCATGTGATTTCTCTATAACCTGTTTGAAGTGATTAAAACCTTGAATTGGTTAGGTGGTGTGTGTGTGTGAGCAGAATCACATGATCAGACGTCTGACGCTCAGACTGAAGAGTCACAGGTTGTGGTTGTGGGTTGTTGTTGTTCTCTTTGCAGTCTCATGAGATGTGTGTGTGTTTTCACATCAGACCGTCTATGTTTTTCTCTTTATCAAGCAAAACCCTTTAGGTTTCAAAACTTCCGTTGCACACAAACCACAAGCCTCATCTTTGGTTCCCAGCATGCATCAGGCTGCAGCTCCTGCCCACGGTTTCCCACTCATCAAGAGGAAGGTGAGACAGAAACTGTGTTTGTTTTTCTGTTGGAGTAAATAATGCTTCCTTCACTGCAAACTACAAACTCACAGTACAAGAAAGAGAAATGAGAAAAAGACTTTAGTTCAGCAGGTCTTTTGTGGTTTCACAAGCTTATATTTTATATGCGATTGAGATTTGTTACAAACCTACGGAGGCGTATTGCATTCACTTGAAGAAAAAAAATCTACTCCGTTTTTCTGAATTAACAAGTTAATTATCTCAGAATTTTTCAAGGAAAAAAGTTTTGGCTCTATTTTTCTGAATTAACGAGTTAATTTTTCATGACAAAAAAGTTTTTGCTCTGTTTTTCTGAATTAACTCGTAAATTCAGAAAAACTGAGCAATAAAAAAAAAATCCATGAAAAATTAACTTGTTAATTCAGAAAAACAGAGCAAAAAAATTTTTTCTCGTAAATTCAGAAAAACAGAGCAAAAAAAATCCATGAAAAATTAACTTGTTAATTCAGAAAAACAGAGCAAAACTTTTTTTCTCATTAAAAATTAACTCGTTAATTCAGGAAAACAGAGCAAAACTTTTTTTCTCATGAAAAATTAACTCGTTAATTCAGAAAAACAGAGCAAAACTTTTTTTTCTCATGAAAAATTAACTCGTTAATTCAGAAAAACAGAGCAAAACTTTTTTTCTCATGAAAAATTAACTCGTTAATTCAGAAAAACAGAGCAAACATTTTTCTCATGAAAAATTAACTCTTTAATTCATAAAAAATGAGCAAAAACTTTTTTTCTCATGAAAAATTAACTCGTTAATTCAGAAAAACAGAGCAAAACTTTTTTTTCTCATGAAAAATTAACTCGTTAATTCAGAAAAACAGAGCAAAACTTTTTTTCTCATGAAAAATTAACTCGTTAATTCAGAAAAAATGAGCAAACATTTTTTCTCATGAAAAATTAACTCGTTAATTCAGAAAAACAGAGCAAAAACTTTTTTTCTCATGAAAAATTAACTCGTTAATTCAGAAAAACAGAGCAAAAAAAAATTCCATGAAAAATTAACTCGTTAATTCAGAAAAACAGAGCAAAACTTTTTTTCTCATGAAAAATTAACTCGTTAATTCAGAAAAACAGAGCAAAACTTTTTTTCTCATGAAAAATTAACTCGTTAATTCAGAAAAACAGAGCAAAACTTTTTTTCTCATGAAAATTAACTCATTAATTCAGAAAAACAGAGCAAACTTTTTTTCTCATGAAAAATTAACTCATTAATTCAGAAAAACAGAGCAAAAACTTTTTTTCTCTCATGAAAAATTAACTCGTTAATTCAGAAAAACAGAGCAAAAAAAATTCCATGAAAAATTAACTCGTTAATACAGAAAAAACAGAGCAAAACTTTTTTCTCATGAAAAATTAACTCGTTAATTCAGAAAAACAGAGCAAACTTTTTTCTCATGAAAAATTAACTCATTAATTCAGAAAAACAGAGCAAACTTTTTTTTCTCATGAAAAATTAACTCTATAATTCAGAAAAACAGAGCAAACTTTTTTTCTCATGAAAAATGTACTCATTAATTCAGAAAAACAGAGCAAAAACTTTTTTTCTCATGAAAAATTAACTCGTTAATTCAGAAAAACAGAGCAAACATTTTTTTCTCATGAAAAATGTACTCGTTAATTCAGAAAAACAGAGCAAAAACTTTTTTTTCTCATGAAAAATTTACTCGTTAATTCAGAAAAACAGAGCAAAACTTTTTTTCTCATGAAAAATTTACTTGTTAAATCAGAAAAACAGAGCAAAACTTTTTTTCTCATGAAAAAATTACTCGTTAATTCAGAAAAACAGAGCAAAAACTTTTTTTCTCATGAAAAATTAACTCGTTCCTTCAGAAAAACAGAGCAAAAACTTTTTCTCATGAAAAATTAACTCGTTAATTCAGAAAAACAGAGCAAAAACTTTTTTCTCATGAAAAATTAACTCATTAATTCAGAAAAACAGAGCAAACATTTTTTTTCTCATGAAAAATTAACTTGTTAATTCAGAAAAACAGAGCAAAAACTTTTTTTCTCATGAAAAATTGACTCGTTAATTCAGAAAAACAGAGCAAACATTTTTCTCATGAAAAATTAACTCGTTAATTCAGAAAAACAGAGAAAAAACTTTTTTTCTCATGAAAAATTAACTCGTTAATTCAGAAAAACAGAGCAAAAACTTTTTTTCTCATGAAAAATTAACTCGTTAATTCAGAAAAACAGAGCAAAAACTTTTTTTCTCATGAAAAATTAACTCGTTAATTCAGAAAAACAGCAAAAACTTTTTTCCTCATGAAAAATTAACTCGTTAATTCAGAAAAACAGCAAAAACTTTTTTCCTCATGAAAAATTAACTCGTTAATTCAGAAAAACAGAGCAAACATTTTTTTTCTCATGAAAAATTAACTCGTTAATTCAGAAAAACAGAGCAAAAACTTTTTTTCTCATGAAAAATTAACTTGTTAATTCAGAAAAACAGAGCAAAAACTTTTTTCTCATGAAAAATTAACTCGTTAATTCAGAAAAACAGCAAAAACTTTTTTCCTCATGAAAAATTAACTCGTTAATTCAGAAAAACAGAGCAAACTTTTTTTTCTCATGAAAAATTAACTCTTTATTCAGAAAAACAGAGCAAACATTTTTTCTCATGAAAAATTAACTCGTTAATTCAGAAAAACAGAGCAAACATTTGTTTTCTCATGAAAAATTAACTCATTAATTCAGAAAAACAGAGCAAAAACTTTTTTCTCATGAAAAATTAACTCGTTAATTCAGAAAAACAGAGCAAAAACTTTTTTTCTCATGAAAAATTTACTCATTAATTCAGAAAATCAGAGCAAAACTTTTTTTCTCATGAAAAATTAACTCATTTAATTCAGAAAAAACAGAGCAAACATTTTTTTTCTCATGAAAAATTAACTCGTTAATTCAGAAAAACAAAGCAAAAACTTTTTTCTCATGAAAAATTAACTCATTAATTCAGAAAAACAGAGCAAAAACTTTTTTTCTCATGAAAATTAACTCATTAATTCAGAAAAACAGAGCAAAACTTTTTTTCTCATGAAAAATTAACTCGTTCCTTCAGAAAAACAGCAAAAACATTTTCTCATGAAAAATTAACTCGTTAATTCAGAAAAACAGAGCAAAAACTTTCTCACGAAAAATTTACTCGTTAATTCAGAAAAACAGAATAAACATTTTTTTCTCGTGAAAAATTAACTCGTTAATTCAGAAAAACAGAGCAAACATTTTTTTCTCATGAAAAATTAACTCCTTAATTTAGAAAAACAGAGCAAACATTTTTTTCTCATGAAAAATTAACTCCTTAATTTAGAAAAACAGAGCAAAAACTTTTTTCTCATGAAAAATTAACTCGTTAATTCAGAAAAACAGAGCAAAACTTTTTTTCTCATTAAAAATTAACTTGTTAATTCAGATAAACAGAGCAAACATTTTTTTCTCATGAAAAATTAACTCGTTAATTCAGAAAACAGAGCAAAAACTTTTTTCTCATGAAAAATTAACTCGTTAATTCAGAAAAAACAGAGCAAAAACTTTTTTTCTCATGAAAAATTAACTCATTAATTCAGAAAAACAGAGCAAAACTTTTTTTCTCATGAAAAATTAACTCATAAATTCAGAAAAACAGAGCAAAAAACTTTTTTCTCATGAAAAATTAACTCGTTAATTCAGAAAAACAGAGCAAACTTTTTTTTCTCATGAAAAATTAACTCGTTAATTCAGAAAAACAGAGCAAAACTTTTTTTCTCATGAAAAAATTAACTCGTTAATTCAGAAAAACAGAGCAAAAACTTTTTTCTCATGAAAAATTAACTCATTAATTCAGAAAAACAGAGCAAACACTTTTTTCTCATGAAAAATTAATTCAGAAAAACAGAGCAAAACTTTTTTTCTCATTAAAAATTAACTCGTTAATTCAGAAAAACAGAGCAAAACTTTTTTCTCATGAAAAATTAACTCATTAATTCAGAAAAACAGAGCAAACTTTTTTTCTCATGAAAAATTAACTCGTTAATTCAGAAAAACAGAGCAAAACTTTTTTCTCCTGAAAAATTAACTCGTTAATTCAGAAAAACAAAGCAAAAACTTTTTTCATGAAAAATTATCTTGTAATTCTGAGATAATTAACTTAATTCAGAAAAACAGAGTAGATTTTTTTTCTTCAAGTGAATGCAATACAATACGCCTCCGTACAAACCTGTAGTGAACGTGAGTGTTTTAATTCAGTTGAATGCACCTTTTTTTAGATGTAAAACTATATGTCCAAACCTTAAATGATTTTGACATTAACACATATTAATAATGTACAAATCCAACACAGGATCATAAACACAACATTCCCATCTGCTCCATTGTCAAGTCACCTTTATTTCTATAGCGCTTTATACAATACAGATTGTTTCAAAGCAGCTTTACAGTGATAACAGGACAATAATTCAGTGATGCAAACTGAGTTTCGGCCATACTGCAGATCTAAAACAATATAGTTCAATGTTGATTCAGTTGTGTTGTAAAAATCATTGATTATTTTAGGATTGAGTCGTCTTTTCTGTCTCACCATCAAATGTTCTCTGACTGAAGGATGATTGATTGTGTGTTCAGGTGAGCACAGACACACTCGTGTCAGAGAAGGAGGTGTGTAAGGAGCAGAAGGAGCTGCAGGAGCATCTGCTGAAGCTGGAGAAGAGAGGAGTGCAGATGGAGAGAGAGATGAGGAGACGAACGGATGGTGAGAAAACACCTGAACCTCCTCACAGAACTACAGGCTAATGCTAACGCTAACAGACACAATAACAGTCAGACATTCAGTAACAAATACTCTAGAGGAGAGAAATTATTCCTTCTGAAACATTTTCATGAATCAGTGTCTCCCAGTAATTGTGTTTGCATCCCCATACTAATTATGTATCTCAAAGTATTTGCTAATGGAGTTTAAAGTCATGAACTCTTGATGTGGAAGCGAGTAATGAACACAAATCAAGTAAACATGAGTTAGTGGATCTGAAAGTGATTTACTAATATTTTTATTTTTGATATGATGTGTCACTAGTCTTCAATAATCATCAGATCAGCAGGACTGAAGCTTGTGTGTTTGGAGTCAGGCGCTTTTGTTTATGAATTATGTGTTTGTTTCAGAGAATCTTCTAGTCGACTGGTTTATTCTGATTCATAAGAAGAACATGTTAGTGCGCAGAGATGCAGAGCTGGTGTATATGTGAGTACACACACACACACACACACTGGATGTGTATTCGTGTTATTGTTTTGACATACATCAAGCTCCCAAAAAAACTTTATTTTCCTACATGCAAATTTTAGAACATGCTAATACAAATGCTAAACACGCTAATAACATCTATACAATTTAAAAGGGTGAATAAACATACTAAACTGTGTTTTTATTAGGAAAAAAATAAACAAGCAAACTGTTTTCTATAAGGGTTAATGTAGATTGTTTGGGGGGTTCGAGAAAATACTTATTTCAGTATAAAACCATTAGGTCTCATAATAAGTGTGTGTGTGTGTGTAGGTTGAGACAGCATCGTCTGGAGCAGCAACAGACTGATGTAGAGTTTGAGCTCAGGTGTCTCTTCAACAAACCAGGTGACAAACTGAATCAATCATGTTTCTTAATGTGAATATTTTGGTTTTTATGTTGTTTTGTTATATTGGTTGGCATTCATTATGTATTCTCTGATATCAAATCTACAAATTAATAGATGATACTAGCATAGAGTATAGATGTCTCGGTAACACTTTACAATAAGGTTCATTAGTTAACATTAGTTACCTACATTAATTAGCATGAACTAATAATGAACAGCACGTATACAGCATTTATTAATCTTTGTAAACGTTAATTTCAATATTTTACTAATACTTTATTAAAATCTTGTTAACATTAGTTAATGCGCTGTGAACTAACATGAACAAACAATGAACAGCTTTATTATCATTAACTAACATCAACGAAGATTAACAAATACAGTAACAAATGTATTGCTCATGGTTAGTTCATGTTAGTTAATACATTAACTAATGTTAAATAATGAACCTTATTGTAAAGTGTTACCGATGTCTCCTAAAGGATAATCAACACTGTGAGATTTTTTTTGTTTTCCAGTGTAAATATCTGAATATTCAACATGGCATCATGACTTTTGCGTAAGATAACATGCCACTTTCGAGTCAAGTGGCGTGTTATCTTTACGCAGTTTGAGCTATCCACGTGTATGTCTACGCCATTAACGTCCAAGTGATTCCGTGTGTCTGTACACCCCGTCAAATCTCCAAGTCATAAATGCCATTAACCCCAGTGACGGTTAGGTTTAGGGACGGGTTGAGGTAAGTCATATATTTATATAACGTAAAGTCAACAGAGTTCATAAACACGCTGAAAAGCAATTATGCGTCTTGATAGCACGCCAAAAATGGAAATACGAATTGGCGTGTCATACACGCTACTTCATGAGATCAGTCTGGAATATTCTTAATTCAAGAAGACACTGTATTGTAATGTCTGTCTGTTCTCTGTGCATTTGTTGTGTAGTCATTTAGTGTGTGGACTTTCCTCGTTGTGTCTTGTCATTGTATTTAAACCCTTCTCCAGTTCCTGTTTCCCCTTCTTAGTGTTACGTTTTTTTAAACTTTAAGCCCTTGTGTTTCCAGTGTTCATTGTGAGGTCTTGTCCTCTATGATTTCATGTTGGTGTGCTCAGTTTAGATGGTCTTGTGTCTTTGTTTCCTTGTTCTTTTATTATTAAACAAATCTACACTTGCATCCAGCTGTCCCAAACCAAATGGTTATAGAAGACCATATCCACATGTATCCAGCAGTTCAGCTTTTGTCTTTAAGACAATGTGATTTGACTGATGTCGAATACAGTTTTCAGTTTTGTAAAACTAGCTGTTTCTCTGTACTAGCATGACTTAATGTTGCACAACTTGTACTAGATGAACACCAGCAAGGATTTTGTCCATTACTGTAGTCATCTCTCACAGACTGCAGCCAACAGGCCCTCCTTATTGACCATCTATCAATTCCCTTGCCAGAAGAGGCACTCAGTATTCCACCATGCTGGCTCCTCATTGAGGTTATGAGGAAAAGGAGAGGGGAACAGGACTCTAAGTTCCTAAATCCACTGGTTGTAGCCTTCCCTAGCCTGGTTTTACCAAGTCCAGTTGTCCAACAGCCCATTCTCATAAGTCTAAAGGTGGTCTTAAGTCCAGTGGCCTAGTTGTTCCAATTCCGGTCCAAGTGCAGCGGTCCCATATCCAATGGTCTCAAGTCCAGTTGTCCGAAGTCCTGTGCTCTGGTTGTCCCACATCCAGTGGTTCCAAGTCCTGTGGTCCGAAGTCCAATAGTCTCATGTTTGGTTGACCCAAGTCCAATGATCCCAAGTCCAGTGGTCTGGTTGTCCCAAGTCTACGGATCCCAAGTCTACGGATCCCAAGTCCACTGGTCCCAAGTCCACTGGTCCCAAGTCTACGGATCCCAAGTCTACGGGTCCCAAGTCTACGGGTCCCAAGTCTACGGATCCCAAGTCCACTGGTCCCAAGTCTACGGATCCCAAGTCCACTGGTCCAAAGTCTACGGATCCCAAGTCTACGGATCCCAAGTCTACGGGTCCCAAGTCTACGGGTCCCAAGTCTACGGATCCCAAGTCTACGGATCCCAAGTCCACGGATCCTAAGTCTACGGATCCCAAGTCTACGGATCCCAAATCTACGGGTCCCAAGTCTACGGATCCCAAGTCCACTGGTCCCAAGTCTACGGATCCCAAGTCTACGGATCCCAAGTCTACGGATCCCAAGTCTACGGATCCCAAGTCCACGGGTCCCAAGTCCACGGGTCCCAAGTCTACGGATCCCAAGTCCACTGGTCCCAAGTCCACTGGTCCCAAGTCTTCGGATCCCAAGTCTACGGATCCCAAATCTACGGGTCCCAAGTCTACGGATCCCAAGTCTACGGATCCCAAGTCCACTGGTCCCAAGTCCACTGGTCCCAAGTCTACGGATCCCAAGTCTACGGATCCCAAGTCTACGGATCCCAAGTCCACGGGTCCCAAGTCCACTGGTCCCAAGTCTACGGATCCCAAGTCCACTGGTCCCAAGTCTACGGATCCCAAGTCCAGGGTCCCAAGTCCACGGTCCCAAGTCCACGGGTCCCAAGAAGGAGGCAGGAACCTGCAAACCATGAATGTGACTTTAATGACAAAATAAACAAAAAAATAAATCAAATAAAAGCAGAAGCCCCTCATAGACGACTTCCTTCTATATAAATAAAATAAAAACACAACGTAAATATTCCAGGCCTGGTTCTCTCTTGTCTTGCACTGTCATCCCTCCTCCTTTAATCCTTCTGGTGTGTCAAACAGTTAAACTGTGTTCATAAACATCTCTTCACCGGCCCCGCTCTCTGCCCTGCTTCACACCACAAAGACTTCTTAAATAAAATAAATATTCCTTGATTTACGAAAGTTTAGATATTTGTACTGGAATAAAATCACTTTTTTTGCAGGTTATGAAATTAAGTGAATATAAAGTATCTCTAGTTTATAGTTTGTGGTGAATGTGTGTGTGTGTGATTGTCCAGAACAAGACTGGAGCTCTGATGACCGACAGCAGGAACATCAGCTCATGTCACACCTCCTGTCAATCATCCAGCAGAGGAATGACATCATCAGCAGCCTGGATCTAGACAGACAGAGGTCAGAGGTCACCTGACCCCAGCAGTGTGAGGTCACATGATAATTGTGTGTTATTGATGGTTGTGTTGTGTTCTTCATCAGGGAAGAGGAGGAGGACATGATGCTGTCTGCTGTGATCCAGAGGACAGGTGAGAAACGGTCCTCATGTTTTCATTTTAATGTTTTTAGATTTACTTTAAGACTTTCTCTCTCTCTAGACCTCCTGGCACAGAAGGACCAACAGCTGGACAAATTCAACAGGACGTTTAAAGGCCTTCAGATGTTCAAGACGTCCAGCTGTAAAACTAAAAACAGCAGCAGAAAGAAAAGCAGCTGAAGGAGAGAAAGAGACTGAAGATCAAGGGTCTCAAACTCAGATCCTGGAGATCACTGTCCTCCAACCTGAATCAAGCACACCTGGAACAGCTGATCAAGGTATTCAGGATTACAAGAACGTTCCTGTAAACTCTGCAGGATGTTGGTCCTCCAGAAGCTGAGCTTCACACGTATGCTGTAGATGCTAATTCAATAATGCAGAGCAAGAAAAAAAAAGGTCTTAAACACTCTAAAACTGTGTTGACAGACACCAGATGAGTCCGTCAAAGCGGATAATCTGGATCCACTTGTCTTGCCTTGAAAGTAGTGCCTTCAATATGTCAGAAACAGACTGACCGTTTACTGTCGGTGACTTTACGAATCCAGTGTAGACAGCGTGAAAACCTGCCATGGAAGTGTATCGCTTCCATAGCAGTGTCTTGTCTCATTGGTGAAACAAACAATAACATCATTGAACATTCGGCGTTCCTTTGTAAAAGCCAGATCCGCTCAAGGACAACATCACAAGCCACTTTGTATAGACTGGTCAGAGGTGGAGATGTAAGCTTTTACAATTCCCCTTTAAGATTTATATTGCGAGGGCATGTCATGGACATTTAATACCACCCAAATAGTCAATTTTTTATACAGTTCTGCACATATGTAATGTATATCAAATGTGTTTTTTGTTTGTTTTATAGTTTCTTTTCTTTGGTGTTTAATGTGAGGACTGCAAAGCAAGCTTTTCTTTGCACTGTGTAAATTTCACTCAATACATATATAAGTAAATGTGCTTTGCTTCAAATTTGCGTCAAATAGACGTTTAGAAGATGTCAGTTTAACATGCATTCTAACTCATTGCATCTTAGAGACATCTTCTAAACGTCTATTTGACATCTGACCGGGACGTCCTATAGACGTATTGCAGATGAGCAAACACTCTTAAAAATGCGTCTTCCAGATGTAAAAATCACATCACATAGATTTGTGCTGTTGCTGTGTTAATTGTTAGTGGTATAAACTAGCGATTTCTTTTTACTAAATGCCACCGTTACTAGCGTTATACACTAATCAGTTTTTAGAGATAAAACTCTTTACATTCGATTATCATGAAAACAAAACTCAGAGAACGGGTTGACTAGGTACTGATGTTTTATAAGACCAAAGGTTCATTTTGCGCCGGAGTTCTCCTTTAAATGAACACTGAAGCAGTGTTTAAGTTAATGAGATAATTAAGTGAATAATTCAGAACACCTAATTGCATTTTTTTATATAATTTTAAATGTTAACATTTTTGTTTCAAAGGATTTATAATGAAATGTTATATTATTTTAATATAGTTTCAGTGTAAACTGAGCCTATGTTTTTTTTTTTGACTCTCAAAGTGACTGTTGACTTGCATTATGAATCGCCAAAGACCACCGTTTCAGCTAAAGAACTTCTTTAGTGTTCTGAAGATAAAATAAGTCCAAGTGGGATGACCTGGGAGAGAAACTTTACAGAATCACTGAAGGGCAGACAAACTAGAACAGAAGAAAGAGAAGAGACGAGCAGAAACATAAGAACTGTAAATGACTTCAGCTTTAGATGAAATCAACTGAAGATAAAATAAGAAAAATCTGTGAAGATCTCAGCAGAGGAGGATTAAACAACTCCATTACCAGCTTCACTTATTACTAACCAGTTTGAGATATGTTGAAGTTGAGTATCCATTAGCCAATATGATTTTTTAATGCAATTTCTCCCGTATGCTCAGAAACGGTATTAATTCAGGTTTTATAAGTCAGATCTGTAATTCATGACATTTGTGTTAGCTGTTATTGCTAATAATTTTGTTGAGTTTTACATTGATGTTTGTATAGCCTAAATGAATTAAATCCCTTGCATCCTTTTGTTTTATCCCTATGGAGGCGTATTGCATTCACTTAAAGAAAAAAATCTACTCTGTTTTTTCTGAATTAACGAGTTAATTTTTCATGAGAAAAAAAAATTGCTCTGTTTTTCTGAATTAATGAGTTAATTTTTCATGAGAAAAAAATTTTCGCTCTGTTTTTCTGAATTAATGAGTTAATTTTTCATGAGAAAAAAAAATTGCTCTGTTTTTCTGAATTAACGAGTTAATTTTTCATGAGAAAAAACTTTTTTGCTCTGTTTTTCTGAATTAATGAGTTAATTTTTCATGAGAAAAAAAAATTTGCTCTGTTTTTCTGAATTAACGAGTTAATTTTTCATGAGAAAACTTTTTTGCTCTGTTTTTCTGAATTAACGAGTTAATTTTTCATGAGAAAAAACTTTTTTGCTCTGTTTTTCTGAATTAACGAGTTAATTTTTCATGAGAAAAAACTTTTTTGCTCTGTTTTTCTGAATTAATGAGTTAATTTTTCATGAGAAAAAAAATTTGCTCTGTTTTTCTGAATTAACGAGTTAATTTTTCATGAGAAAAAACTTTTTTGCTCTGTTTTTCTCAATTAGTGAGTTAATTTTTCATGAGAAAAATTTTTTTGCTCTGTTTTTCTGAATTAATGAGTTAATTTTTAATGGAATTTTTTTTGCTCTGTTTTTCTGAATTAATGAGTTAATTTTTCATGAGAAAAATTTTTTTGCTCTGTTTTTCTGAATTAACGAGTTAATTTTTCATGAGAAAAAACTTTTTTGCTCTGTTTTTCTGAATTAACGAGTTAATTTTTCATGAGAAAAAACTTTTTTGCTCTGTTTTTCTGAATTAATGAGTTAATTTTTCATGAGAAAAAAATTTGCTCTGTTTTTCTGAATTAACGAGTTAATTTTTTCATGAGAAAAAACTTTTTTGCTCTGTTTTTCTCAATTAGTGAGTTAATTTTTCATGAGAAAAATTTTTTTGCTCTGTTTTTCTGAATTAATGAGTTAATTTTTAATGGAATTTTTTTTTTGCTCTGTTTTTCTGAATTAATGAGTTAATTTAGAAAAACAGCAAAAAAAAATTTCTCATGAAAAATTAACTCACTAATTGAGAAAAACAGAGCAAAAAATGTTTTTTTCTCATGAAAAATTAACTCACTAATTGAGAAAAACAGAGCAAAAAAGTTTTTTCTCATGAAAAATTAACTCGTTAATTCAGAAAAACAGAGTAGATTTTTTTTCTTCAAGTGAATGCAATACGCCTCCGTATATCCCAATGTTAAAGCAGCATTATTTTTTATTTTATTTCAGACTTTGTTATGGGCTCTATGCACAGTGATATTTCCGGTGAAGGTGTAAGGATGCTCGATAACTTCCGCCGATCATAGAGTCCAATGCAAAAACAAGTCCACAATGCACATTTTGGACGTTTTTTTCTCTGCCTGCCCATCTGGGGATGCTGCAAAAGGCTCTGAAAACAGGGAGGGAAACACACTTATCAGATAACATTTAAGACTGATATGACATGGTCATTACCATGACATGAAACATTACAGGGATAGTTCACTTTGATATACATTTTTGGTATGTTTTAGCTTACCTCAAGGGTATCCAAGATGTAGGTGTCACAGTGTCTGGATGTGTTCCCTTGTTTGTCCACTAGATGTCCTCCTTCCCCACTGTGTCATTCACTTCTGGAACTACATTTCCCACGATCCTTGTTTTATCATTGCACTCAGCTGTTCCTCATCACTGATCATTGCACTCTGCCAATTCACCATTATCATTGTCATTCCCTGTGTGTATATATACCCTGTCTGTTTCAGTGTGTGCCATGGAGTCCTTTCAATTATCACGCCACTTCTGAGGTTCTGTTTTCTTTGAGTCTTGTTTTTGGTTTCCTGTATATGTTGGATTGCCTTTGGATTTTGACCCTTGCTTGGACTGGTTTACGATTTTGGATTACCCTTTAAATAAACAACTGCTCTTGGATTTAATCCCTGTTTCCTGTGTGTGGATCGTGACAGTAGGTGTCTTTGTTTCCACAGTATTTTCAATTTTGATATCTGTCTGTCAGTCATATAATGGAGGTCTATGGTCACCACCTCAAAGAGCATGCACAGAGAAGTCCAAATTAAACATGATTTAATGACTCGTAAATGTAAGTACACATTGATGGCCTAAGACATGAAACGAGCGGTTTGTGTGAGAAAACGAACAGTATTTATATCGTTTTTACCTCATGTAGCCACAGCCACAAAGCGCCCGTGCCCTTAGATCACTTGAACGTGGCTGTGATTACAAGAGGTAAAAACAACATAAATACTGTTCGTTTTCGTCATTACTAATGGAGGTATATTTGATTCAAATCAACTGAACGCCTGTGACAGTGTGATTTGTAGTTATAGACAAAAGCCATGCATGTGTATCAGTAAATTTGAAGCCAAAGAGAGAAATATTTTAAGAGTTGCAAACTTGTAAACATTTTTTCTCTCCCAAATTACACCATCTCAAATTCCTTTTGATGTTTTATCTTACCTCAAGGGCATCCAAGATGTAGGTGTCTTTGTTTCCACAGTATTTTCAATTTTGATATTTTTAGGACAAACCGTCGTTGTCTATGCATCATATAATGGAGATTAATGGGGCCCACCCCAAAGAGCATGCACAGAGAAGTCCAAATTAAACATGATTTAATGACTCGTAAATGTAAGTACACACTGATGGCCTAAGACACGAAACGAGCGGTTTGTGAGAGAAAACAAACGGTATTAATATCGTTTTTACCTTGTGTAATCGCAGTGACGTCCAAGTACTCTGAGGGCGAGGCCGCTTCTATCTGCGCAAGCGCGCCAGAAAGCCCCGGAAGTGATCTCTCGCGCATGTGTGTCACTCATTGTTTACACAGATTTCGGAAGTTTTACCTTTCACTGTGAAGATCTAAATATCGAAATCGAATCGGTTTCCTGTACATCTAAATATGTTTAGATCTTCACAGTGAAAAGTTAAACTTCTAAAATCTGTGTAAACAATGTGTGTACATGCACAAGAGATCACTTCCGGGGCTTGTGCAGACCAAAGCGCCCGTGCCGTCAGATCAGTTGGATACGGCTGTGGTTACAAGAGGTAAAAACGATATAAATACTGTTCGTTTTCTCACACAAACCGCTCGTTTCGTGTCTTAGGCCATCAATGTGTACTTACATTTATGAGTCATTGAATCATGTTTAATTTGGACTTCTCTGTGCATGCTCTTTGAAGTGGTGACCATACACCTCCATTATATGACTGACAGACAGGAACGGTTTGACCTAAAAATATATCAAAATGGAAAATACTGTGGAAACAAAGACACCTACATCTTGGATGCCCTTGAGGTAAGATAAAACATATCAAAAATTAATTTCAAAGTGAACTATCCCTTTAATGAACTTGTACGCTCACATTTTTGATACAGTTGCTGCAGTGATTTGGTGTGAAACGCATTTATACACCAGCATCAAGAAATGTGAAGTCGTGGAGAAATTTATGAACAACTGTAAATCAATATGTGAATTCATCCAATGAGAGTTGCAACCTTGAAGAATATTTCTTGTAGATGTCTTGTATATGTATACTGCTCATTTTAGTTCACACAATCATTTCTCAGCAAGTTTAAAAAAGAAAAAGAAAAATGTAGTTTCAGAGTGAACTTAAAATACAATTGTGCATTTCATTTCATAAATGTATATGAACTTTATGAAATGATGCACAATTGTATTTTAAGTTCGCTTAAAATGATTACATACTGATTTGAGCATGTGCAAAATTTCTCCACAACTTCACATTTCTTGATGTGTGTAATGTGTGTAATCTGTGGATTTTCTCTACAACTACAAATCGCACTGTCACAGGCATTAAGTTGATTTAAATCAAATATACCTCCATAATTGCTATAATCATTTTCATGACCGTGTCATGTTTAAACTCACCTCTGAAGGAATTCAAGTGTGCTTGCGACTTCTGCTGGA